GACCTTTCTATCAAAAATGGGTTAAAATTTGCATAGTTAGCCTTCTGGAGAGGATGAAGCCTGCCAGATTTTAGTTGCAGTGTCTGTTGTATATGCTACATTTGTTGTCTGAAAGCATTAAGAGATACTATGCTTTATTTCAGGGGTAGTCAACTTTGGCTCTTTTATGACTTGTGGACTTCAACTCCCAGAATTCCTGTGCTGGCTCAGGAATTCTGGGAGTTGAAGTCCACGAGTCATAAAAGAGCCAAGGTTGACTACCCCTGCTTTATTTGGTTGTTTCATTTGGAGTTTCTATGAAAATGGCACCAATGGTATGGCCAGTGTTACAAAATATCACTCAGATAAAAGCCATGGGGTTTGTACAAAGGAAATCCATAAATATTTGGAGGATATATTGTCTTCTGCACAATTTGCATTAAAATAACCTATTTATATAGAGAAATAAATAATGTGTAAGTATTTATTTAGGTATAGCTCTCCCCCTACCCCCACTCCTCGCCTCCCACCAAACATTGCAGTTGTAAATGAAAGTAAATTCTTGATAACATTTTCTGGGTGAAAAAAACAAAATCTGCCAATCATAAGCTACATCATTTCCCCCTTCCTTCTTCTACTTTCCCCTTTTTGGTATGAAGAGCTAGGAACAGAAAGGTAACCAGTTTTGATTATCAGTCTGACTTTTTTTGATCACTTCCTGGGCTGATATCTTTTGAATTGGAAGGCTTTGACAGTTAACTACTATACTCTGAGCTCCATTTGAGACTTGCTGCTTTCTCTTAAAGTAGCACATTGCTTGAAAGATTTTGTTAAAAATAAGCCTGGTAACAGACCATCTTCATTCAATACATATGAACACCTCCTGAAAAATAACAATCATATCTCTTTAATAGAATACTATTGAATTATTTTCAGGAGTTGTTCCAATGCATTAGATTGGATTAGCAACTTACTTTTGCTACTTTCATAATGGGACACAATTCTAACATAAGGAGTTTGTACAGTTTGTAAAAAGTCATTGTCATGGTTCTATGACTATTTTTATGGCAATCATAATGCAAATTATTGTGGTCATTAAGTGAATCAAGTGGTTGTTAAGCAAATCCAGCTTCCCTGATGGATGTTTGCCAGAAACCAGCAAAACAGGTTGCAAATCGTAATCACATGACCATAGTATGCTACAACCAATTGTAAATAAGAACCAGTTGCCAAGTGCCCAAATTGCTGGTGCCATCAGTAAAACTATCAGGTTTTACTGGATGACTGATTAGGAGGAATGTAATGGTTGAGTATGTGGTTCTTTAGTAACTAAAAGATTATACTTGGCACACATTTTATTTTGCTTGCTCTGTCCTTGGTAAGATACCTGTGTAGAGTATGATGATCTTTCTTAATGTTATTTCAAAAACCTTGGTAAACAAATGCAAGTAGTCCTTGGGTTATAATGATAATGGGGATCAGAATTTCTTTCACTAAGCAGTGTGGCTGTAAAGTATGATGCCACATAACTGCTTTGTTTAGCAGCATCAGTCCTGTAGTCCCATTTGTCACTGTAATCCCAGGACCATACAGGTTGTTAAACAGGAAGAGGCAGGAGTCCCAGGCAGGTAGGCCAGCAGATGCTGCAGGCAAGCACTAAAGAATGTGGGCAGGTAAAACAGTGGGAACAGGAATAATTTTCTACTTCCTGCCAGCTTCCCCATTGACTTTGCTTGTGGGAAGTTGTCAGGGAACACGGGAAATCACAATCATGTTACTTTCACTTGCTGCAATGTCATAACTGTAAGCCGGACACCCAAGTATCTAGATTCCCATCATGCAATGGCCACCAATTTGCAGACTGGTCATAAGACCACCTGGTTCAGCAGCTTTGTAACTTTGAACAGTTGCTAAGCAAGTGGTCATAATTTGAGGACTACCTGTATTCTTTAACTCTCCGTTTTGTCAGAACTAAGCACATATAAAATAAACTTTTTCATGCTGGCCAGGAATCCTGGGAGTTGGAGTCCACGTATCTGAAAGTTGTCAAGATTGGAAAACCCTGATTTATATCTTCCAGACTGAACTTCATTTAGCCTTGAGTTAGTTAAAATAGTAACTAGTGGCCTTCTTTTGGGGCGAGGGGGGGAAACTTCTATCATTCTTTTAAAAATAAAATTGATGCTTTACCTAAAATCTAAAGTAAACTTATTATCTTTTTCGGCTGAGATCATGAAAGAATAGTTGAGAATAAATGTTATTAGCCTATTTATTCAAAAGAATAGCATTGATGTAGGAGATTTTTATTGTACAAGATTAATAAAAGGAGTTGGTACATCTGTTTTTAAATAAATGTGTCTGTTCAATTTAGGAACTAAAATGTCATTGGGAACAGAAGCTAAATATATACTCCATTTGACATAGCATCTTAGTCCCAGTGATAATATGTCAGGGTAGTAATTTGTACTTATAGTTAAGTGGACTTGAAAGATAGGCATCTGCATGAATTTGGCAGCACTGAAGAGGTTCAGAGCTCTTGACCTTCTCCTCTACTGATATTCAGTTTAGCTATTCAGCAAAGCAAACCCAATAATTTGCTCATTAAAAAAATAGCCCAACAACAAAAAGAACATAATTATAACCAATAAGAGATCTGGGGACTGTCCAGTATATTTGCAGAGGGCTCAGTCAACAGCAATGGCAGTTGAAGTCTACACATCTTAAACTCTGGGAATTGGAAGGTTTCAGGTTAGAGGTCTAAATGTTTGCATGTTACAGTAAGTTTCTAGGACAAGGTTATTTGTTTGTCTCTCTTTCTCTCTCTGCAGAACAAAATGGCTTTTTAGAGAAGTTAAGATAGAACAGAAAAGTCTGTGAAAGAAACTTTGGCATTGGACCCAAAGGCTTTTCTGCAAGAAGAAGAGGTTTCCTCGGAGGAAAAGGAGAAGGGTCATTTTAAAAAAACCTCTTCCTTGGAAAAGAAACAAATATTTCCGATCACTGAGAATGTAGCTCTAGAGATCAAGCATTCTTGTGCATTTCATAGAAACCATGTTTATTAAGAAATGTTCTGGCTTAATGTCTATGTCTATGAAGATTCTCAATCATCCAGATCATGGTTGTCCCAAAGGTGATTTTCAAAAGGCAACTGGACTTTCTTGGTTTTTTTCCCTTGAAACGTTTCACTTCTCATCCAAGAAGCTTCAGTTCTGAAGAAGCTTCTTGGATGAGAAACAAAATATTTTCAAGGCAGGAGCCCTTGGGTAGCAGCTGTCAGCAACTACTTAAAACAGCAATGTCTGTTCCTGCTGTTATGTGACTTCCCTCTGCAGTTGCAGCACAGTTGCAGAAAAAGAACATATTTCGATTAGAAAGTTGCTGACAGCTCCTCTGCACATACCAATATGCCCTCTGAAGCACATTTCCCTTCAAGTCAATAGCCCTAATATCTTAGCATAATTAGCTGAGGTATATCCACATACAACTAACTTCAGTGAACTGTTATTGGCACATTTTATATAATTAATATCCAATTCATATGTGGCAGAAAGCAATTAGACCCAGACTTTATGGGGTTATATAAGTTACCATTTAGGCACAAACTAGTATTGAAATACAAGTAAGGATTTGTAAAAACCATAGGACTAGTTCCATAGCTTAATTCTACCAACTTTGTCCTATCAGATTTCCATATATTACAGAGGAGGTTATTCTTGAACCTGGGAACAATTATAAAATTAATTTCCAGTTTGGTGTGGTAAAGTACACTTAACCTAAATACTGAAGCTGTTTCAAATGTGTTATTGTTAAAACTAAAAGGAGAATTTCTTAAACAAATGTAAAGTGATAATTTAAAGAATAAATATACTTTAAAGAATAAATGACAACTTTTGAATGAATTTATTGTATATCTTTGCCCTGAAATATACATAAAAAGCTAGTGATGCCTCTTCTAAGCTTTTTTCCAGGAGAGAATGAAGATTTTTATGTTCAGTTTTTACTGGTAGAGAAGAAACTCAAAGTAACTCTTATAGTTGCAAAGTTTCCACCATTTATAAAACTTGCAGATTGTTGATAGCAAAACAGTGCAAGTGTGAACATACATTTTTCACCTTATATGCCTTATTTTGAATGTTATTTTCTAGGTTGTATTTGGTAGGTTACATTTAGCAAATCTTATTTAATCTGGGTGGCTGACCTGGAAGAATAAAGAATTTGAATTTGTGTATCTTTGCTCCTATCTAATGGTCTTCTGGATTTTAATAGCTCAAATTGGATAGGTGTAAAAATAAATTATATTGTTTTAATAAGACCAAAAAAGAGAGAAAGAAAAACAAAATAAAAACAGGCTGTGACTAAAAATAAATGAATTGGATCTGTTGCTTTTCTATTTCTTTGCTGCACAATCTGTTTAAAAGAGCTAAAAGAATTAAACAAGAAAAATATCTCTTAAAACCTCTTGAGAAAAGAATTATATCTGTCAAAGACTGCCTTGAGTAAGGAAGGATTAAGTGGCTAAGAATGGAGGAAAGAATAATTATTGTAGGATGATTCTCAATAGACATTTCTGACAATTTGCTGAATGGCCCAAGTGTTATTGACTCAATCATCTCTGCTGTGAAGTCTTATTGATCATATTGTTTCTTTGAGATTTATCTCACAACTTCTTTTAAAATATTTTAATATTTAAATATCTGTTGCATTAAATCTACTTTAATAATGTGATTTTTTTCTATTTTTTGAAAATAGGTAAATTTCTGATTAAGAAAAAAGTTGCATTCACAGCTGGCAAGTAAAAGTATAACAAATATTTAACAAAATCACAGTTTTTGATTCATTATTTGAGTCAAACGTGAAAATCTGAGCAACACAGGGAAAAATTAGAGAAGTATGATTTTTTTTCCATTCAAGACTCCAAATGTCCGATTTTGAAGCAAGCATTGTTTTGAGGGAAATCTGTGCTTTGTCTGACAAATTTATTACCAACTTAATAATACATCTATCTTTGTCTTTTCATTCAGGGGTGCTACATCTATTGTCTACAGGTGCAGGCAGAAAGGAACTCAAAAACCTTTTGCTGTCAAAATCTTAAAGAAAACTGTAAGTGTAGCTGTTCCAATTCATGAGATTTTTGTTGCTGAATTTTGCTTCTGAGCAGAGCTACATTAGAATACAAATGTATTAATTTCTCACAGTCTCACCAATGTAGACCCTTAAGCTTCTTTTAATCCAAAATAATAAGGCATGTGGGACATTTTATGTTGAATTCAAAATAAACTATTACTCAATAGAACAGCTGCAGAACTGTTTGAAATCCACTATAATTCAAAAGAACCAAATTGAGAATTTCAGATTGTTGTGCTGAAACTCCCTGTACAATATATTTGCATTCCTAATCATCCTGGCAACTTTCCTGCCTTCTTTCAGTTGTTACTGCTGATGCCCTTTGTGCTCTCCCCCAAACAATTGGAACAACTGTATTTTGGTCTATGCACAATAGTCCTTGACTTACAATCAATTGCTTAGCGACCATTCAAAGTTATGAGAGACCCCCCCAAGAGCATTTTATGACTTGAAGTTCTAACATCATCCCCCTGTAGTCACATGACCACCTTTTGGGCACTCAGCTACTGGCCCACATTTGTGGCTGTTTGCAGTACATCGTAGTCACATGATCATGATTTACCATGGTTTTGCTGGACATAGATATTTCTAACAAAAAACAGTCCATAGCAAATAATAACATTCCTTAACAACCATGGCATTTGCTTAACAACTGCTGCAAAAAAGTCATAAAAATGGGTCTGGTCACATGGTGACCTGCTTTATGACCATCAAAACTTAGGTCTTACAACTGATTGTAATTGCCTGACTCAGTTTTGATTGTAAGCCAAGGACTACCTGTATGAACAAGTAGCTTTGTTCTAAAGTATGGGTCTTACTGTTATGTAAGGATGGTTCAACAGATCTATTCGAAAAAACAATCTTTATGAAATTCTTCCTTAAACTAACATTCTCCTAATGTTTAAGATTCCACTTCCAGGAGTCGCAGCCAACATAGGTGAAACTGTCCTGATGAGGATTCTTGGAATTTCAGATAGGATTATGTTGTAACAGCATTTAATTGTGACTATATAGTACTTATTAAATGCCTATTAAATTTAAGATTACAATCTATGATATTTGTTGCCCATGGGACCTAATCTCCCATTAAGTAGAAGGTATGCATCAGGCTTCATTATGATTAAAATCCTCTACATGGCTTACAGCAATTTATGATACCGTTTTCCATTAGAAAAATTCAATTTTAGAGTGACAACCAAAATTAAATAAAACAGATCTAATTCAAAAGTGCCAAATATATTGGTTGCAAAAATGGGCGTGCAAAATCTTCCAGTGAATAATATTTATGCTACCAAAAATAATGTAGCGTAATATTAAAATTAGAGTTTATAAAAATTGCAAATTTTAACATTTGTAACATGATATCTCTGAAAACCAAGGAAGATGTGATAATGACCTAAAATGTGAAAACTAAATTAAAGAGAGCTAACTTCTGCTATATTGAATATTGTCAGATACTGTCTCTTAGTCTCCTTCCCTTTATTTGGAATTTCTAGTAGAAGAAAGGAGAATGGAGTTTTGACAGTCATAGACTGAGAAGATCAGGGTATAAACCAATGTTTTGCAAACTTGTCAACTTTACGTGCATGGGCTTTAACTCCCAGAATTCCCAGCCAGTCATATTGGTTGGCAATTTTGCAAGTTGAAGTCCATGCATCTTAAAGTTACTATGGTTGAGAAGCATTGGTGTAAATGTTTTCCTTTCAGTCTTGTATCATTGTGAGATGAAACAAATCCTTTAAGATAATTTTATCTTTCCTGTCATTCACAATGTACAATTATAAATTGGTATCTAATATCAATAAGCAATTGGATAAAGAAAAGCTAGTTGAAAATTAATTCAAACAAAACAGGTGCTGCTGGTAAACTGAAATGCAAATCCACGAATAAGGATGCAACCTGCACTAAATGGGGTTACAATCATCATTTGTGTTTATTCAACCAGGATTTTCATATGTCAACACCCAAGATTTTTACACATCTCAGACTGCAGAGTTGTAAACATTGCTAGAAATTCCTGTTAAGCCAGGATGATACATTCCTTAGTATCTTCTTTGGATCATGGCAGTTATATTATTTGACAGCTTTAGGGAAACATTGAACAGTTTCAACCTGTCCAATGCTATTACTGAAATTTTTGCCTCAGGCCAGCTATAGTGAGATGCAACTCCTTCATTATAGTATCATCACTGACTGGATGACTCTCCTAGCACAGTGCCCTAAATCCCACACAATTTAGGATCAGGTTTTTGAAATAATATATTTATCTTTACAAGTTTGCACATACGTAATGTCCTTTAAAAGAAGCTTTTCTTTTTTCTGAAAAAAATTGCTAGGGTAACTCTCTCTTGTTTTCTATGGTCTGGTAAGCAGTCTCCCTCTGGCATGTAATTTGGTTAGCTGCTGAGTACATTGTAACTGAATGTGTATTCTATTTATTGATATGCTTTTAATGGTATTTTAAGTGTTTTAATTGTTAATTTATTTTATTTTTCTTACTATTAGCACCATATACATCATTTATGGTGAAAAGCAGGGTAATAATTTCAGTAAATAAACTAATATATCATAAAAATAAATTGTAAATATTATTGTATGAGAAAATTGCTGCATTTGTTTCCCTACAGCAGTGGTTCTCAACCTGTGGGTCGGGACCCCATTTGGGGTCGAATGACCATTTCACGGGGGTCACCAAACCATGCTGTCCGCCATTTTTTTCCCTTTTTCCTAGCTGTCCTACTCCCTCTTATTGGTGGCCACACCCACTTGGGGGTCACCACAACATGGGGAACTGTATCATGGGGTCACGGCATTAGAAAGGTTGAGAATCACTGCCCTACAGGCTCTAAAGAAGACATAGATGTTTTATTCCAAATTTTACATTAGCATTTTACAGCAATCCTTATTGTGAAATTTAGGATGCAATGTTATGTTATAGCCAAGGAACTAAATCAGAGAAATTATTCAGTGATGGTACCTAGTCTGCTTGCTAATTAAAACAAATGAACAAACAAAAAAACCTCTGCATCTAAATTAGTTGAAAAACTATGTGCAGACACAGAAATCACATTGATACCTCCCCAAATCAGATCTTAGGTCTGTTTCTCTTTCTTGGTTTCTTGTATATACATTATAAATATTAGCTCAGGCCCCTTTCTTTGATACTTATCTTTTATTGTTTTTAAAAATATAATTTGAGGTTTCATAATCTGTCCACTCATTGTTTTATATATAAAATAGGCAACTTTTTAAAGGTGCAAAAAGTGTTTCAAGGACTTTTTTGAGGGTTTCTATAATAAAATAATACTGAATCAATTCTTGCAGTTACCTGTGACTAAGTTTAAAGTGGTAAATCCACATAAAACAAAATTTTACATTATGCAGCACAACAATGCCCTTCATTCTAAGAACCCAAGCTCTTACTTAGTTTTTCTTACTTAGATCTGCACTCCAACTGATTCAGTGGGATTCATAATTAGAAAAGTGGAGTTAATAACACTACCTCTGTTTGTGAGTGGAAGAAAGAAAAAAGGTAAAATTGGAATGACATCTTGTTTCATACAGAGGGAGGACTGAATAGGAAGCAGCAAAGCTGGTCAGCTTGGAACATCTTTTCTCAGCAAGTTTCTGGTGCTAAGATTACTAATCATGTTACAAAACAATTTGTTTCCTCTTTTTTCCCACTAAAACTCTGGAATTAATCTCATTGTTATGGAAAATCCAAATGACACTGTGGAACTTTTGCTTGATTCTGTGTATATGCATGTGTGCATATACACACTTTATCTAGAGTTTTAAAAAACAGTTTAATAAAAAATTAGAGAAACCAAATAATATGATGAGAAAAACTATGGTTCATATCCTTTGAGACAATGTATTTTATACAGTTACTTCAGCACACTGTAATTACTTTGGACCAGGTCCATTAAACTGAGTGGCACTTGCTTATTTATGTGTTTATGGCTTTTATATACCAACTTTTCTCTAAGAAATTTGGGGTGCCCTCCCTAATTTTAATTGTCTGTGTATGTGTGCACAACAAACATAAATGGAAAGTTAACAGAGTAGAAGAGAAAGCCACTCAATGAATTCTGTGATTGAGACTTGGAGTTTGGTTTTCCCAGTGCAAGTCTAACAATCTGTGACTGTATATGCATAAAATTATTTTAATCTATATTTCCCACCCTCTTATCTCCCCCTGCAAATACATCCAGATGTAGTTTTAAACTAATGTTTCTCAAACTTAGCAAATTTGAGATGTATGGACTTCAACTTACAGAATTCCCTAGCCAGTCTTCTATACATCTTAATTTTGCCAAGTTTGAGAAATATTTGTTTAAACCTTGGGTGATTACAGTATTATATCAAGGCACATTTTTTCCTAAGGGGTAACAAGACCTTCCTACTGGTTTTGCATCTTGCTTCAAAAAAAGTGAAAACAGTTTCTTTGAACATTGAACAATTTAAAATGATCATTATTATTTTTAAACAAATGTAGCATTGTTCTACCCTCTCTATTAAACACTGAATCTTATTTACTTATTTAACAATTCTTATAACCACCCACTCCCAAAAGGTATACACATTGTGTACAACACCAACAAAAACAAAACAAAATAATAATAACTAGGTGCTCATTGTCAGTTAGTTGGGATTTCAAGCACATTGAAATAAAACAGTTTGAAGCTTTGTATGGATCTGCAAAAAGGTGGAAACTGAATGTACTTCTGGGGACAGAGTATTCTGTAAAGGAAGGGATACTACAGGAAAGGATGAAACATTTAGCAGGGCTATTTTTGATAATGGGATATGCAGATTCAATTGCAAGATTGCTTGATATATCCTGGTGCTGTGCTGTTAGGTAATGGTAAAGGTAATGAGCAGCATTTCACATTGTCTCTGCTGGCAACCATTCACTGACTTTAATATAGATGTAATTCTGAATTGGGAGGGTATCCAGTTAATAATCTTGATACTACATTTTCTACCAGCTGCAGCTACTGATTTGTCTCCAAAGGCAGCCCCACCTAGAATGCATTGTAGTAATCCTCTCAAGGGAAATTGAGACTCAGTTAGTAATAGTACATTACTATAGTGATATATATCACTTCCGGTGTAATTGCAGTCTTTCAGACTTGGACAAGCAAAAGCCTACTGCATATTGATCTGGAGCTGTGGCTGATAAAGCAGCTGATTATCTGGAGGATCCAGCAATGTTTGTTTATTTATTTATTTATTTATTTCTAAAATTTATATGCCGCCCAATCCCAAGGGACTCAGGGCGGTGTACAAAATTAAAACAATAATCTAACAATAAAAGAATAAAATAAATACATTCATACAGCATGTCCGATCATATCCCGCCCCCCCCCGGGGACATCAGCCCCAGGCCTGCCGGAACAGGAGAGTTTTAATGGCTTTCTTAAAGGGTGGCAGGGTGGGAGTAGTTCAAACCTCGGGGGGGGGAGTTGATTCCACCAGGTCGGAGCCACCACAGAAAAGGCCCTTCCCCGAGGGCCTGCCAGCCGACATTGTCTGGCTGACGGGACCTGAAGGAGGCCCAATCTATGGGACCTCACTGGTCTCTGGGAACTGTGCGGCAGTATGCGGTCCTGTAAGTAACCTGACCCTATGCCATGAAGGGCTTTAAAGGTGATAACCAACACCTTGAATTGCGTCCGGAGACCCACAGGAAGCCAGTGCAGCTCGCGGAGGATAGGTGACATGTGGGCATACCTTGGCGCGCCCACAATCGCTCTCGCGGCTGCGTTCTGAACCAACTGCAGCCTCCGAACGCTCTTCAAGGGTAGCCCCATGTAGAGCGCGTTACAGTAATCCAGTCTTGAGGTGACAAGGGCATGAGTGACCGAGAGTAAAGCCTCCCAGTCCAAATAAGACCGCAACTGGTGTACCAGGTGAACCTGGGCAAAAGTCCCCTTGGCCACAGCCGATAGATGTTGTTCCAAATTTAGCTGTGAATCCAGGAGGACACCCAAGTTGCGTGCCTGCACTGAGGGAGGTAAATTTGCCCCCCCCAGGACTAATGATGGACCATCCAGTTGACCTTTGGGAGGCAAGACCCAGAGCCACTCGGTCTTGTCAGGGTTGAGTCTAAGCCTGTTCACCCCCATCCAGACGCTCACATCTTCCAGGCACCGGCACATCACGTCGAAGGCTTCACTGAAAGGACACGGGGTGGAGATATACAATTGGGTATCATCTGTGTACTGATGATACCTCACCCGTGTCGCCGAATGATCTCACCCAGTGGTTTCATGTAGATGTTAAAAAGGAGGGGGGACAGGACCGAGCCCTGAGTCCATGTTTTCTGATTTGAAAGTCTGTTGGGAATTCCGCATGTGCAAATTCAGATATTATGGACTTTAACTTTGAATGAATGTGACTTAAAATAAGAATACTAAATGTAGCCTGATTAAAATATGATAAAGAGCCGTAGTGATGCAGTATTGCAGGCTAATTCTGCTGACTGCCAAATGCCAACAATTCAGCAGTTTGATTCTCATTGACTCAAGGTTGATTCAGTCTTCCATCCTTCTGAGGTTGGTAGAATGAGGACCCAGATTGTTGGGGGCAATGTGCTGAACCTATAAACCTCTTAGAGAGGGCTGTAAAGTATTGTGAAGTGGTATATAAGTCTAAGTACTATTGCTATTGCTATAACTGAAAAAGTATCTTTTGTTTAGCAACAGAAATACTGTATCTTTGAATCTCCTCTAGCTGATGGCATAATCTTACAAACCTTACTTGATTCTGAAAATCAGATTTGAATCAGAGTTGGTTAATACCTGGATAGGAGATTATAAAGAAATATCTGGACAGTAGACCAGCCTGGGAAATTGAAAAGAAAATCACAGAAGAAAATAAGGCAATTTCCATATTTTTTAAAAAAAAACAACATTCAAAGAAATTGAATTTGCCTGAAAGAATATCAATACCTCTTTGGTTTTTCAGCCTGTTACTGGCTTATTTCATATGTGTGCCATTTGTGTGCTTGTAAAAGGTCCTATAAGGTGAGAGGGATTGTTTCCCTTCCCATTTTACTATTGGAAGTGGTTCCATCACAGCTGGGCAAATTAATCATCCTCCTTTCTCTCCTTCCATCCTTCCAATAGTCAGAGTTTCGCTGTTCCAAACTGAAGCTTGGGTTAATAAAGCAAGGAAAAGCCAGCTGTACAAGTAATGTTTGATTTATGACGAATTTCCCAAAAGGTACTTAGGACCTAGATTGAAGTTCCAATGGCTACTCCCCATGGTCATGTGATTGCACCATGGATGCTTGGCAACCAACTTGCACCTACAGCTGTTTGCAACATCCCGTAGTCACGTGAGCATAATCTATGACTTTTTTTTGATGAAAATTAGCATTTACTTCTGATTTTCAGCAAAAAAAATACCCATAGTGAGCAATGTGCACTCATAGTACATTTAAAAACCACAGTGTTTGTCTAACAACCACCACATTCACTTTACAACCTCCATGTCAACTTAACAGCACCATAAAAAAAGGTTGTAAAACAAAGTGTTTATGTGATGACCCACTTAATGATCAGCATGACTTACAGACTCAATTATGATAGTAAGTCAAAGACTACTTCTATATGCAATATAATAATTGCCTGGACTAATATAATAACTGAATCTAGTTTCTATTACCACTACAGTAAAGTAGAGCTTAGTAGTAATAGCATGAGTGATTATTATTTTGTTCAGAACTGAAATGGTGACTTTAAATCCTAGTCCCTCTATTAATGAAAGGAGATAATCTCTCTCTTGTTAATACAAGATTTCATTTAAACTCCTGAGATGTTTGATGGCAGTGCCATATTTTTACCATTTCTAAATTATAAGTTTTTCTAAAACTTGAAGTTAAAGAAATGTTGCGTTCAGCCTTAAGAAGCAGAAGTATGAACTGCCGGTAAAAACCTAAAAACATAAACATTTCACTTGGTAGTCAGAATGATGAAAAGCTTACCATTAAAAGCCAATTAATTCACAAGTGCATTAAGAATAAAATGGGAAATTAAATATATCTATAACTAAATATAGATATTTTAATGGAACGATGGAAAATAGATGAGAATTAGAAAAGCTTGCTTTAATAAATGTTTAATCAGGATATAATAAAACTTACCAAAGAATCATCTTAACCAAAAGAGGTATAACACATTCTTTTCATTGATAGCACCAGCAAAATAAGTGCCCATGTATTCATTGGGCCAAGGTAAAAAGGAGTCCAAAAGCCATTTTCCGTTATAGCACTTTGATAATCTGTAAAAAAAAATGTTGTTTCAGGAGTTGCCTGCTGAAGAGCTCTGTGCAACTCTAAAGAAGTTATTTGAAGAAAAGGTATTGCCTTGTTTATATCTATCATATATAATTTGGGATAGCTATATATTTTACAATTGGAGAAGCATTGTGGCTTTATACAAGAATTGTGAAAAATATTTGTCTGGTTTAATATACTGATATAAGTGTAGGAATTTTGATCAATGTTTAGAGCAAATTTTGCAATCACTTTTCTTCTCATCAGTAAATGACAGAACACTCAAAGTGATGTCCATATTGTGCTGATCCATTCATTGAGATAAAAGATTTGCCTATGCAAGAACTTAATGCCTATATTCAGGAACACAAAGCTGCAAATCAGCTGTGCTAAAAACAGTCCTGAACTTACACCCCATTCAAGTTTTTGTTAATAAGTTACAGGTTTTGTTACTTGTTTAACTGTTATAAGTATAAGGAGAACATTCACCCTCCATCTGAAATAATGGACTGTTGATCTTAATTGTGAACCATTCTTTCAGCTACTGTACAAATGCCATGGTCTTTATTCATGTAAACTCTCTGAATAGTAATGTTGCAGCAGTAGTTGCTTAGTATATTGCGGCAGGGGTTATTTGAGTTAATAATTCCAGGGCATGTTTATAGTCCATTTGTATATATGATTTTTTTGAACAAACGTCAAGGCTTTAAGATATTTCAGTACAGCAGTAATAAGCAGATAATTATGAGCATGACTACTGTATGTAAATAGAAATATGTTTATAATTTACTTATACTCCATTTGGTGGTGATGTGTATACAGCAGAGATATCTAAGGGAATTTGGAGCTTTGTGAACAGAAACAGGCCCTGCTGTGTTTGCAAAGTATGTTGAAGGGATATGTGATTAATGTTTACCAAAGTCTGTGATATTGTACAGGCACAAGAGTCATTTTAAGTAGAAAGACAATCCCCAAAATGTCTGAAGGTTTAAATAATAGTTTTTAAAAATCTGTTTGCCCCTTAAGCATTTATTCCTGTTCTCTTACTTCAATTAATTTATTTGGATTTTGATAGCACAGAAAAAGGTCTTACCTTTTCAGAAATAGCAGCCTCTTTTTCCAAAGTCCAAGTAAGTAGGTAATATATAAAATGCAGTCTTTGCTTAGCAAAGAGGCTGGCAATCCTGTGTGACATATTAATGATACCAACTACAAATCTAGTTTCCATTCACTAATCTGTACTAAAAAGAAAATCTTGGTTTGTGTATACTTTGCTTTTCTCTGTTTCATGGTAAACATTGGTTTTCTTGTATACTCCCCAAATTGCCTAAAATAACTGAACAAGGCTTTCTTCATGTCAAATTTAAAACCCACTTCTTGCCGCTGATCACTCCTACTATTACTTTTATTTTCATGGATTCATTGTCTTAGGCTCCATACATAGGCTTTAATGATGCAAACCAAAGTGCCTGTAACATTTTCACTATGCATAAAGTATTAAGATGTTTGAAAATTGTCATAGATTCAATTCTGCGAATTCACAAAAGGATGCTTGATATTGTCTTGTAAACTATTCAGAGAAAGAATATTTTATCAAAATAGTTTTTCTCAAAGTTTATATGCTAACATCAATTTTGGCTCTGTGTGGATAAACAGTTTCAGCATCAATCCTAAACGATAACTTTTTTTTGTTTCTTCTATTTTAAAACTTCACTCTACTTTTAAATCTGGTGACAAATTTCAATAACATTAATCAACATTTTCCCAGATATTCCAGAGACATATTTACAATTTATTTATTTATTTTACTTAATTACTTTTTGACTTTTACTGTGATTGGTTCCTAAAAATATTAACAAAGAAATTTTCACTAAAACTATTACATATGTCCAGAATGACTGCAGCAGTCAAATCATTGAAACAATTACTTCCAAAATCTTATTATGTTTTCTTTTCCTTTTAACCAGGTAGATAAGAAGATTGTCCGAACAGAAATAGGTGTTCTTCTTCGACTTTCACATCCAAATATTGTAAGTTTGCAAGCCCAGACTTAAAAATGTTACCCTGCATCTTAATTTCCTACTGTGGACATATTTTCCTGTCTTGCTGCACATAAGAGGACCAAAAGAACTCTACATTCTCAAAAGTTTTTAATCTGACCATATTTACTTGTTTATTAGTCTGTTCTGGGAAGCATCAGAGTTCTTGTCCATTTGAAATTATTTCTAGTAGTCTTTCAAGATATTTCAAATACTCTGAAGAATCATTTAAGAAAATAATTTTTAGTGCATGCTTTTTAAAAAATCATGCTTTATGCTGAACCATAAATTGTGAAGTTTTTCATTAGAAAGAAAGGAGGAGAGAAATTGGGGGAAAAATAAAAATTAGAATATAACCAAACTCTCAGATACTATGTAAGATACATCTATTTATTGTAACCTTATTGTAAATCAGGGGTTTTCAAACTTGGCCAATTTATAACTTGTGGACTTCAGCATGTCTGGCTGAGTAATTTTGGGAGTTGAAGTCCACAAGTCTTACATTGGCCAAGTTTGAAGACCAAGTAAAGGCCAAGTAAATTATATACATACAGGAAAGAAGGGGAAATAGACAATTGCTTACTTTGTTGCTTTTCTCAGATAAAATTGAAGGAGATATATGAAACCCCCACAGAAATCAGCCTTGTCTTAGAACTGGTAACAGGAGGAGAGCTGTTTGACAGGTATGTGGCGGCTTGTGCATATTGTTGTTATATATATTGCCCAAATATTATATAATAGAGATTCATTTGGGTTTAATTTTTTGAGAACACAGAGGCTGAAAATGCATTATTTTCTCTGTGATATGAGCTCCAGTGGCTGGAATTATATTTTAACAGATCTGAAAATGCTGGTCCAACTAGCTGGCCTACTGGCCAGCCTCTCCATCTTTCCGCCCTTCTTAATCCACTTTAAAACACACTGGTGATACATTCGTGTTGTTTTGACTATTTTCAAATCTATCCAAGTGACAGGAATACCATGAGCACAGCCAGTTTATGTGTATGTTTGGCTTGCAGAAAGCCACTTGCTAATTAGCTCTTTCCCATTTAGCAACATTTTAGAAATGACTCTCAACCAATCAGTGCTTGTTTGCCAGCTAATCATCATGTAGCTTAGCTTTTCATAGCCACGGTTCAACACAACATCCTTTTTTAACTTTTCCAGGTGTTTCTGTGCTCACCATGGTGGCAGACCTCCATGGCCTACCAAACCTGTAAGGCTGGTATGCCTGTAATTCTGCATGTGACTGTTTTTTAATGACTCTAAAATGCCAGCCTAAGAAAGGGAGGGCAGGGAAAGCCAAGAATTAGCTTACTATTACTAAGTCCATCTGATAGCTACTTAATTGTTTAGGTGCTTGTAGACTTAATTTTGACTCTACTTACTTGATTTATACATTTTTGTTGCCTTTTTCTATTCTTCTGTATGTTGTTATTAATTGTTATATATAACTCAGACCTATAGTCAGCTCCATAGGCTCACCTCTACAAAACCTAGCCAAATTTCTCGCCAAACAACTACAGCCCTATGCAGAATCCATCACCTCACACGTAAAAAACTCATTCCAGTTTATAGAGATCATAAAGAAACAAAACTTACAGCCCAGCGACCTACTAGTGAGCTTCGATGTCATATCCCTCTTCACCCAAGTGCCTAATCAAAGAAGCCTTGACAGCTATCCAAAACAAATATAACCCCCCCAAACACATCTTAGATCTGACCAACCACTGCCTATCCAACACATACTTCATCTATAATGGACAAAAATACAAACAAACAGAAGGAGCACCCATGGGATCACCCCTCTCACCTGTCATTGCCAACCTCTACATGGAACACTTTGAAACCCAAGCTCTAGAAAAATCGGATCACAAACCCAAACTCTGGCTCAGATATGTAGACGACACCTTCATAATCTGGCCACATGGGAAAGAAAAACTGGACAACTTCCTCACACACCTCAACAGCCTACACCCCAAAATACAGTTCACCATGGAAACAGAAGCTAACAACCAACTTCCCTTCCTGGATGTCTTAGTCTACAAGAAATCCAATGGCTCCCTAGGACACACCATCTACCAGAAGAAAACACACACAAACCGCTATCTGCACGCTCTCTCACACCACCACCCAGCACAGATCAACTCTGTAGCCAAGACACTCATCTCCAGAACAAAACGCTTAGCTGACGAACAACACCTAAAACCCGAACTACACACTCTCACCAATGTACTAACATCCAATGGATTCCATAGAAATAAGATTACAAACCTAATCCAAAAAGAAACCCCCACTAAAATCCAAGACAAAGAACAAGAAAACGGCAAAGCCATCCTCCCATACATAAAAGGCATCACAGACAGAATCAGTAAGATCCTCCATAAACACAACATCAAAACAGCATTCTGCACAAACAGAAAAATATCCACCATCCTTAGAAACCCCAAAGATAAAATTGAATTAGAAAATCAAGGAGTATACGAAATCCCATGCACCACTTGTCCCACCACATACATCGGACAAACCAACAGAAGAATAAGTGCACGCATTGAAGAACATAAGAACTCAGTCAAAAAAGAGGAACCAACATCTTCCCTGGTCCAACACCTTAAAGCTACAGGACATGAAATTGACTTTAAAAATACCCGAACCATTGCCAAAAGTGAACATTTTAATAACAGAATAATCAGAGAAGCCATCGAGATAGAAAAACGCCCACACCGCATGAACAAGCGAGATGATACCTCCCGCCTACCAGCCATTTGGAAACCCGCCCTCATTGACAAACGACTCCCTAACACAAAAAATGATACCAGACCCACACTCACAAAAACCACACAGGAGGTCACCACCAAACATCCACGCAAAAAACAAACCCAAAGCCACACTGACTATGAGGCACGACTACAAACCAGAAGCCAGACCACAGCTGCATCATTAGCCACTTAAACCCCCCCAATCCATACATGAAGCAAACTGACACCCTCCATGAAGAGGAAGCACGACCACGAACGCGAAGCCAAGGAATGGCAGGGCAGCCCAAAATCTTGAATCCCTCTGCAACTCAGACTAACCTGAGCACAACCAAACAGAACACTCCCCCAGCCAATCAGAGCACAGCCCACCCCCCAGCCAATCAGAGCACAGCCAACCCCCCAGCCAATCAGAGCACAGCCAAGCCCCTAACCAATCAGAACACATCTCCACCCAATCAGAACACAGCCAAGCTCCCACCCAATCAGTTCATACCTCCACTGGCAGTTAAAAGGAAGAAACAGCCAAGACCACACACTGCTGCTCGAGGCACAAAGCTGAAAGCACCAGCCTGAAGATGACGAATGTGACTTCGTCGAAACGTCGCCAAGACACTTCCAATTTTACGTGGGAGAAAACCCGAACAACCAAAGACCTATAAATAATATCCAGTTCACCATGGAAGAAGAAAATCAGGGCGCACTAGCATTTCTAGACGTATTGGTGCAACGCCAACTGGATGGATTTTTGACCACCAGGGTATACCAAAAAGCAACTTGCACGGATAGGATCCTCCATTTTGAGAGCAACCATCCGATAGCCCATAAAGTCAGTTGTGTTAAGACTCTATTCAAACGGATGGAGTCACATTGCAGCACTGTCAAAGCTAAGAGGGAGGAAAGAAACCACCTCTTCCAAGTGTGTAAGCGCAATGGGTACCCGGCAAGATTCATCAACCGGTTTAATATACCATCTGAACCCCGGAGTAACCCCACACCTAATGAGTTGACACCACGGACAACACGTATTACCCTCCCCTACATCTGCAATGTATCAGAGGCTACGGCGAGAATTTTGGCGCCATATAATATACAGGTAGCACATAGACCCAGCCAAACGCTACGGGCAGCCATTATGCGCCCCAAGGACCCGCTCCCCAACATGGAGAGATCGGCAGCCATATATAAGATCGAATGTATGGACTGTCCGTGCAACTATGTTGGGGAGACTTCCAAACGAGTGAAGACCAGGGTCCACGAACACAGACTAGCTGTGAAAAGGGGCGAACAACACTCCCAGATATGGACTCATATGGCGGAATTGGGCCACCGCTTTAATTTTAATGAAGTAGACGTCTTGGCAAGTGACAGTACTAAGGGAGGCCGACTGCTTAAGGAAGCATGGCTATCCAATGGCAGCTCTATCAACCGGCATATTGACCTCTGTCCGGCACACTTAGCACTTAGATCATGGAGTGCGACCAACCACCCATCTCGCTACCACTGGCCCGATAGTAAATCCAATGAGAGAACCATAGGAGATGTGCCAACCCCCCAACCAACTCGATGCAATTCAGAAGAGGAGGGACAACGATTGAGAATTCCCACTACCCTTGCAATGTTAACACGCTTGCAAAAAACTAAGGGAGTGATAGAAATTAAAGCCCAGAACCCCTGCATCACGAACATCAGAGATATCCCAATTAGCGTGCAAGGAGATACGTTAGACAAAGATGGGGAGAGATCATTAGACCTGACACCTCACCGACGGGCCAAAGATAATTATAACCATGGGATCACCCCCATAGAAAAACAATCCATTGAGCCACCCCAGCCAGTCTGGAACATTGTACACGACCATTCTAATGACAGTTGGGCACAAGGGAGGGGCATTAAGGATGAAAAGAAGAGAAAGTGACTGGGTGAAGCGTGATTGGAGAAAGTGACTGGGTGAAGCGTGATTGGAGAAAGGAAAAGGACAAATACAAACTACCACTCGAACCCGAAAGGGAGAATGGATTGAGGGATTGAGGGATAGAGGCAATCGAAGAGACAAGGGGTTTACATCACCTGCCTCAGAATCCAAAGAAAAGAAGGTAGATGAAGATACACACGCAGCTAGGAAGGACAGAAAGAAACGAACCACTGGAGCACAATTCAACCAATTGGGTCCGGTGACGAGATCGAGGAGCCGAGTGCAGACTCCGGCCTGCCTATAAAATGACTCTCTCACACCCTGACGGTCTAGCCCTGATGATGCCGGCAGATGACGGCGAAAGCTTGGCGTTTTTAAATTTACACTAAAAATATGATCCCTGGGTATATCCATATTTAAAATCAAACAAATAAACGTGAGCACCAGGGAGTATTTAAAAATTTTTAGTAAAATTTAGTAAAATTTAATACAATACCAATAAAATCACCATAAAAATTAATAACTAATAAAACGCCTAGCTTTCGTCAGCAACTGCTGACATCATCAGGGCTCAAAATGCCGGTCAGTGGGAGAGTCCTCTTTTATAGATTGGTCAGAGTCTGCACTCGGCTCCTAGATCTTGTCAATGGGCCTGATGCAATAGGCTGTTTCTCAATTGCCGGTTTCTTATTGGCAATGATTGCTTTCTTGCGTTTTCTATTTGTGTGGTTGTCATTGGGTGTTTTCTCTTTGCCAAATTCGGGGTCTGATGAGACATCTCCCCTCTCCTTTTTTGCTTTACTGTCACCCCTATTTCGTTTAGCTGCACCCCCCTCTCCTCCCCTTTTTTCACTCCATTCTGGTTGCCCCGTCACATCGCACTGTCTCTTGTTTTCTTTGTGTTTTCCCCAGTCATGGTCTCCGCAGATGTTGTTCGAGTTGATTACTGTCACGCCCCTTGTTTCCTCCTTGCTCCTTGCTTGCACGATATCATTTTGAGAGCTCTTCCGTGCTGTCCATTGACACGGGCAGATCGGCATTGCAAGGTGGGGTGGGCGGGTCTTATCCTCCAAACATGCTAATGAGGTCATTCCTCCCCTCTTGGAGTACGATCTGGTAGTTGTTGCCCCCAGACGTCTCCTTTCTTTATCTCCGGTCTTGGTGTGTTCCATCCCAGCTCTAATCAACTCGCCTTGGGTGTTCTCTACATGGTAGCCAGGAGCGTCAGCCCTCATTGCTCTCTCTCCTCTACTCCCGGAGTTTCTCCCATGCTTATCTTCATCGGGTTCACTCCATACCCCCCGTTGGCATGTTTGAGTCGATGTTGCTGAGTGGAGCGATCGAGTTGTTATAGATGTTAGGGCTGGAGAAGCTGCCCTTTCCTCTCCTAAATGTGGTAGGCGATTCAGCACTCTCGCCAGAGGTGTTTCAGATGTGGGTCTCTTATCGGGCGGCACTCCCCCTTCCAGGTATCCTGGGGGGTGCGTGCAGTCCCTCAGTCCACACGTTGGTGCTCCTGTGTCTCCTGGCATTTCTCCAATTGCTCGGAGATGCCTAGCCATTCTGGGGGTGGGGGGAAATCCCGATCGTTGTCTACCTTCCGTTTGAGTAGACTTTCTTGTTTCTTCTTTGAAGATGTTTCGCTTCTCATCCAAGAAACCTATTCAGCTCTGACTGGATGGTGGGGAATGGAAAGATTTATATTCCTTGCAGACAGCTCGGCCCTCTATATAAGTCAAGTCTCCAGAGTTGAAGTCCATATATTTGAAAGTTGCCAGGGTTGAGAAACACTGCATTAGGGGAAAAAAATCCAATTAAATTATACCACTTATCTCATATGTTCAACTATTGTGCCTTCCTAGACCTATCTGATTTCATTTTGTTGATCTGACTATTAATATTTCTTAAATTGAAAGTTGGCTTCCTTGCACTGAACAATTTATTACACAAAAAAGTTCTAAGCAAAACTTGATTAATCCCTTATTTCTTGTGTATCAATAAAATAAGAAAATGAATACATGGGAAAAGGTTTTGGTGACTCCAAGATGCTTAAATGCTTCTAAAATTGCCAGCTTTTTTTATTTTGTGTCGAACTTGGAAGCACTTTATGGTAATTGTTGAAGATTGCTATGTTATTTCAATGATAATATGATCATTAGAAATGTGCATGCTTCAAAAATTTGAAAAAAGTAGTTTTGGACCAAGTATAACCTTCATCTCTCTGCTACAGTACAGTATTTATCATTTTTCAAACTTCAGTTGAAAGCTGAAAAACATGCCGTTTTATTTAGTCATTGAAGTTATGTCATTCTTAAAGCAGCCACACCTGCTGTAAGCCTGAAAAAAGTTGAACTTTTTAAATAAATAGATGATGTTCTTGTGAAAGGTCCAAAGTACTAGTAATTGATTTATCACATTTTAATTTACATGGTGGTCTCAAAACAGGCAAATTCCTTGTAAGTTATTACTAAATCACAGCTAACAGCTAGTTAATTTCTTCAGTCTTCAAATCACTTACTTTGAAACAGACCCATTGATTTCAGCATGACTGCCCCAGAGTAGAAGGTATAAGGACAATTCTTTTCAACCATCATCCTGTTCAGTGGAACTTAAATAAACATGCTTGGTTTTATGTTGCAAGTTTAACATGCTTAGTTCTATATTGTAAGTTTAACTGCTGCAGTACATATTCAAGCTGAAAAGCATTTTATCCAGTGATTTAGAAACTCTGACTTGCTTTTTGTGGTATAGAATATAACTTAAAAGGCTTGGGATTAAAAACCTGGTTGATACCATCCATTCAGCCACTTCTACAAGTATATGAGTTGTTCTCAGGTAAATTGTTAAATCAGGTTTAATTTTATCTGGAGAATTAGTCATATTGCTTTCAGCTTCCTCTAGCCATCCTAGTCATATCTCTAGCCACACTGCACCATATTGCCTCTTTCAAGGTTTCTAACAGAGGCTGCTTTGTATGGGAAAACCACAATGATCTTCTTTACTGAGAAATCATAATGGCAATTCTGTGAGTCTGATTCCACAAAATAAGACAATACATAAGAATAGCTATGTTAAATTTTCTAAATTATGGATGTAATCCTCTAGACTAGATACCTTCTTATTTTTATAGAGGCTGTAATATTTACATTTTATAAATGCTTTAAAGCATATTTTATTAATATAAATTTATTTTGTTTTCAGAGTATTTAGATTGATTTCCTGAAGCATCTTCCAAGATGCACAATGGTGCTTATGGGCCAGAGTAAAGTTGTTTTTAGTGAAGAGTATTATGGTAGATTATATTGTTGCTTGATTATTTTGTGATTTATTTTAATAACAAGTTTGCCTAGAATTGTGGCTGTTCTAGAAATCCCTGAGTTTGAATGGCATATTTTTGTTTCTTTATAGAATTGTGGAAAAGGGATATTACAGCGAGCGAGATGCTGCTGATGCAGTGAAACAAATTCTGGAGGCAGTTGCTGTAAGTTTTACTAGCTTCACAGCCTCGGATTAATATTTCACTAATCTCAAAATAATGTTTTAATCCGTATAGACCACTAAATGAAAGAAAAACTTCTTGATAACAGTTCAAATTCCTATATATTTATCAATCTCACTCAGTGATCAAAAGAACATGAGAGGAGGAAGACCATGAAAAAGCACACTTAACTCTACACTTCTTTCACCTCCTTGCTAACATTTCTCCTCATACTGAAGACAAACATCTAAAATATGGAATCAATTCTTGACATAGAATGACTTTTCTTAAGCTGGGAACCTTCCAATGCTCAGAATCCCAGCAGTTGAATGATGCCTGGTTTCTGGAAGTCTGACCTAGAGGTTCTCTGTGTTGAGGTAGCCCAGGAATGTTCCTGGCAGCACCATCTAACTTCTCATGCTACACTATCTTTATTTAAAATAAATGCATGCAAAATAAAAGCCCTGTGGAAAAGTCTATGAGTACATCAAACTAAATGCAAGGTACTAAAATACATGTACTACCAGCACCAGAACCTGGAAGATAATGGTAACCATAGAGAAAAGATCACGTGTGCCAAAATCACCCATGATGCTGTATTTTACATCAGCTGAAGTTTCTAAATGCTTTTCAAGGACAACTACACGCATAGCACATTGCAGTAATATAATTGGGAAGTGAGGACATGAATGATAGAGCAAGCTCTCACAGTCTAGGAATGAGCACAATTGGTACACAATACATAGTGTAGAGGCCCTCCTTGCTATAGCTGCCACCTGCTCTTTGATATCCTTTTCTAGTCCCATTTTTTTGTTACCATGGTAATAAGTGATCTTCCATTTATAGTTGCAAGTGGTGTTGCAGATGTGGTTGTAATTCATTTCAGTTATTCTCATAAAGCAGTCTGTGACCTTTGAAAGATGCCTAATTCATCACACTTTCCAGCTTCTGGTTTTCCAGGTTCAGGAACAGGCGAGACAGGGAACAAAATATACAATTAGAATCCTCTCTCACTTCAAAGCTTTGATATCAATAAAGACAATAAGCGAGCAGATTAGAAGAGGCTTGGAGTCTACGAACTTATTTGGTCCCTAGAATTAACGACATAGCATCCATGCAGCCGTAATGACTTAAGGAAAATGAAGAAGACGTGGGAAGAGAGGGCTGAAGCAAAATGCTAGTATGATTTCTGTTTCAGTTCTCAGAATTTGGATTATTTTATAAATGCATAATATTTTCATCATTTGTGAATTGTAATTGATCAGTGTCATTCTTTTTTTATAAGGATTTTATTGGTTTTTCTCTTGCATACATGATCAGTGTCATTCTACTTACAGTGTGATTAAAGAATACTCTCTCACTGTTTTCTTCTGCCCTTTGTAGTCTCTGTCTGCTCTGGTGAGAAAGATTACAGGAATTGAAGAAGTGAGGAAAATTGCTAAAAGACTCTTCTATGTTTTTACCAATAGAAAAATCCATTAGATCAAATATTCCAATAGATGGGGCAATATAAATGGAATCTAGCTCAATTAATTTTATAGAAAATAATTCACTGAACTGCACAATATATGACTATTTTAAAGACAAAAACCCTATATAAATATTTAGAATAAATGGAATAGTTACCTCTTATCCTGCCATGGAATGTCTCCAACATAAGTTTTATTCTTGATTATTTTTGTCCACTGGTTTTGACTTTCCAAATATAACAAAGATTCTAACACTCTATCAGAAACTAATAATTCCATTATTCCTACCCTGGCATTGCCAGCAGTGAAAGTTGCTGGGATATTTCATTCAGTGACATTTGAAGGGCCATATGTTCCTCAACTGTGTGTTCTTTGTAATAGGGATTTAATTATTGTAATTTCAGTCATAGGTAACATACTGTTCAAACTGAGGCAGTCAATATGCTGCTAGTCTAATCTGCTTTTTTGAAAACCAGTTTTAGTAGTTATCCATTGGGAATTTAGTTTCTTTTAGATAAATGAACATTTTTTGACAAATGTATTGTTTATATAGCCACCATTCTTGAATGGACCAGGATTTTATGTTTACTACAGGTATGCAAGGCTGAATCTCCTGATCCATTTATTCTGCATCCTGCTTCTAATGGTACTATGCCAGCTCCACTGTGATCTATTGTCACGTATGAGCAGGCATCAATAGGTTAATAAATTAATTTCCTTTGCAGCCCTGCAAATATTATAGCTTCCTTAGGAAGTCTTTCACCCGTGAAAGTGAAGGATTATAGTTCTGAAGGTCTTCCAGTTTGGTACACTTGATTTTGTAAAATCTATAAAAAAAAGAAAGGTTTTGTATTTTCACAATGAGATATTCAGTTCAAATCTAATATTAATGGCTATACCAGGGGTAGGTAACCTTGGCTCTTTTATGACTCGTGGACTTCAACTCCCAGAATTCCTGAGCCAGCATAGCTGGTTCAGGAATTCTGGGAGTTGAAATCCACGAGTCATAAAAGAGCCAAGGTTGCCTACCCTGAACTATACCTTTTACAATTGTTCTTGTATTTTACTTCTTTTATTTGTACTTTGAGTAATTTAGAGCTATTATATATAGACTGAATTAAAGCTTGCTAACCACATAAAAATTCTGATTTTTAAAGAATGCTATAGCTGTTACTATAGTAAGTTTTACATGCAATTCAACATTACATCATAAGCTTTATAAATTTCCAAGCTTGTGTAATAATACACAAAAATTTAAAAATTGACAGGGAATTACAACCATTCATATATGGGTATATGTAAATCATTAATGGAATCTAACAGCTCCATTCTACTTGAAAATTGATATTATCAAAACTGTCATATTATGCTAAAATATATGGTTAAATTTCTGGCATTGAATTTCATTAGCTTAGCATTCAGACAAACAGACATAAGTAGACACATAGAGATAAACCATATTTTCACATCATTCAAAAGAAACAATAAAGAAGAAGAAGGAAACTAAAAGGACACTTCCTCTTTATCAGCCAATAGTCCAATTAGCCAGGATTAATACCAGACAAACACTCAGGCAGAAAACAATACTCTAATTTATTTATTTATTAAATTTATAAACCACCATCTCATTGATGACATGAGTCTGGGCAGCTTACATGAGAACCAAAATCAAGGGGATGGATGGATGGGGGTGAGATCTTACCCTGTCAACCACCCACAACAAAGAGTGTATCCATTGGTGGCTCCAAGCTGGCAAACCAAGTTTTAGGTGGGGGCAGGTCTCATCTCACATAGCAGAATGTCCTACACCGTGGGGGTCACAATAGACAAGGCTCTTCTCAACCTTGCCAGCCAAAATTCGTTTATAGATAGGGCCCACAGCAAGCCCCTTCTGCTGGAATGAGTAGGATAGTCTAATCTCATTGGGGTAAATTGGCTCCTCAGATACCCTGAATCCATGCCTTAAAGGGCTTTAAAAATGATGACCAACACCTTGAATTGGACCTGGAAACAAACTGTTAACCAATGTAGCTCAGCAACAATGATATTCTATGTGTCACTCTACAGGCTTCCAGAATTGACTGTGCCACTGCATTCTGTACCAAATACAGCTTCTGAATACTCTTTAAGAATAGCCTCATATAGAGTACATTGCAGTAATTCTCTGTTGCAGTGGGATATGTGTGTGTATCTGTTCTCTCTGTCTAAGGTTACAGGTAGTCTTACAAATACAATTTACTTACAAATACAGTTGGGACCAGAACTTCTATCGCTAAGTGAGGTGGTCATTAAATGAATCACACCTGATTTTATGACCTTTTTTGCTACGGTCAATAAACAAATCTCCACGATTGTTAAGTGAATTGCCGAGTAGTTGAGCAAATCCAGCTTTTCCCATTGGCTTTGCTTGTTGGAAACTGCCCAGGAAGGTAACAAATGGTGATCATGTGACCCTGAGTTGCTGCAACCACTACAGATACATGCCAGTTGCCAAGTGCCTGTTCTTTGAACATGTGGCTGCAGAGACGCTGCAGTAGTTGTAAGTGTGAGGGCTGTTTATAAGTCACTTTTTTCAACGATGTTGTATAACTTCAAATGATTGCTAAACAAATGGTCATAAATTGAGGACTACCTTACAAGGTAATTAGACTGATATTATTTATTCTTGAAATAATAAAATCATAAGTAATTCAGATTCAAAAACCATATTGCTTTTAATCAGTCTGATTTCAATTATAGCATATTCTCTATATACTGTATGGTGAACCCTTAACATGATTTACAGTGAAATCATTTCTCACCATTAGCGGTCCTCAACTTGCTACTGTATTTTATTAACATTCTTCTTCATTAAAATAAGATATCAGCATTAAAATATCATTTTTAACTTTGGTTCCCCAAAGACTAGATTCTGCCTCTAGGCTGCTATTACTATAATTCATTATGCTCTTCAGGATTCCCTAATGCAACCCTTTATGCAAATTTAAAATCATTTAAAATAATGGATACTACTTTAAAGTATAATAACTAAAATCATATTTAAATAGAGACAGATTTGTGTGTTGGAAAATTAGAATTCCTCCACTGTTCCATTTACAAGAGTATTAAAACAATGTTTGCAATAATTATGAGCCTTCCTTTATGCTTTTATTGTTTTGTCTTTTGGTGCTGCAATTGCTCATTTATACAGGTAGTCCTTGACTTATGACCATTCATTTAGTTATGAATGGCACTGAAAATATGATTTATGACTAGTCCTCACACTTATGACCATCACAGCATCCCCATGTCATGTGATCCACATTCAGGTGCTTTGCAATTGGCATGTATTTACAACAGTTGCAGTATCCTGGGGTCATCTGATCACCACTTGTAACCTTCCCAGTTATCTTCCAACAAGCGAAGTCAATGGGGAAAGCTGGATTCGCTTAACCACTACAGTAAAAAAGATCGTGAAATTGATGCAACTCATTTAACAACTAAGTAATGGAAGTGCAGTCCCAATTGTGGTCATAAATTGAGGACAACCCATGCTAAAAATGAAACAATGGTGAAAGTATTGGGTGACCCAGCAGGGTGACTCAGATTTAAATCTATATTTTATAATGGAGTTCATTGAGTGACTTTGGGTCAGTTGTTTTTTTTAGCCTAACTAACCTCACAAGCCTGAGGCCACAGATTTAAAATTAAAAGAAGATCCTGTCTAAGCCTATCAGAGAAAAAGTTGGACATAAAGACAATAATAAATACTCTTTTATAATATACTTCTTTGATAACCATATGGAGCAAGAGTGGAACATAAATATTTTAATTAAATACATGTTTTTCAGTGTAGCAAAAGAAACTCATCCAGTTTTACTACACTTCATCCTTTTTTAAAAATGATTTCAGTAGATTCGTGCATTTGCTACATTATAAAATGGAAAAGATGCTTTGTGAACTGATTTTTTTTAAACCTTATTTGTTAACAAATAATAATAAATTATTAACCTTGTATGTCACCTGGCTCTCAGCCATTCTGGGTGGCTAAAAGATTGGTAAATCTGATAATTGTATCTATATTAGTACAGTAACTTTATTTGAAAATCATGTAAATTTCACTTGTTCATTTGAATATGCTGTTAAAACCAGATTATTTATTATTACAAGGACTGTTGTGCTGCTTCTCACTGTTGATAACGCAAGAAAACAGCAGGAAGTAATAGAAATGATTATATTTCTCATCCATGAGAACTGAGCCTGAAACCATAATGTTGTACTAGGAAACATTAAAAGAAAAGGTGAAATAATCATAGAAAGCATTATCTAAAATAGCCTCCTGTGAAGTGAAGAGAAAAAGAAAAGCTTTGTATCTGTGGGGCTAAAGAAGTGACAGATAGTAATTTCCTCTGGGCACATCAGACATAATTCATGAAAGGAATTCATTTGCCCAGAAGAAATGCAGATGCATGTCAGTGGCAAAAAAGAAGAGGTTATAACTATAGATAAGAGAAAGACATGGAGTGGGACCACTGGATATTAGAAGAAAAAGTGCAAAGTCAAGAACAGTGTTATGCTATGGATTAGAATGAGGGCAAAGGAGGAAAATTTTCAACAGCAGGAAAAGAAACCAGTCTGGAAAAACATAACTACCAGGCATATAAACTGAAAGAGACGTAAAAAGAAAAAAAGAGTATATGAATAGAAGTAGTGCTTGAAGTGGGTGGACTGGCACATTCCCACTTATTTTCAGGAAATCATAATTCATTTTAGCCATCCCACTTCTTTCTTGTTCTACTTTGAAATTCAAGAATTTCAGCTCTATTCTTGGTCACCCCAACCAAAAACAGATGCCTGGTTAAATTGGCACTGGAGAAAAAAATGATATCACGGATGAACAATACATCTTGTCAGCCTGTCAGGTCTCAACTGTTGCTAATAGGAAAGAGAATAATGAGACAATTCCTGGAACAGAGGCAATGTGGATTCAAGAAGAGCAAAGAAGCACCAGATTAGAGAGAAATGAAGAAGGAATGAGAAAGAAAAGACAGAGGATGGAGTATAAGTGAGTGAGAGAAAAAAGAAGAATAAGTGAGAGAAAAAAGAAGAATAAAGGGAGGAAGGAGAGAAGACGAGCAGAAAAAGAGAGAAGGAACTAGTGGAAAGAAGAAAAGTGAAGAACGAAAAAGCTTGGTGAGAAAAGAAAGTTGCACAATGTCACCAAAGGAATATCACTCTAAAATGAAAATAGGAAAGACTTCATTCCTCTGTGGGGAAGGCTTGGAAACATCTTTCAGCCATAGTCCTCCAGGATCTAATTGAATCCTGCCAGAGGCAGTTGGCTGAACTCTAGGAGAGTCCTCATCAAAGAATGAAGCTAGCGCTGATGATGTTACCTAGTTTGGGTAACAAAACATCTGCAAGAAAACAAACAAGCTCAGTACCAAGGACCCCTCAATGAAACTCTTTCCTAAAAATCTGTTAACTCAATTGTTATGAGGGAAGAACTAGAGAAGGGGTTCTCAACCTTGGTAACTTTAAGACTTGTGGACTTCAATTCCCAGAATTCCTCAGCCAGCGCTGAGGAATTCTGGGAGTTGAAGTCCACAAGTCTTAAAGTTGCCAAGGTTGAGAACCCCTGAACTAGAGCAAGGGTATCCATCCTTGGCAAATTTAAGACTAGTGGATTTCACTCTTCAGAATGGCTGGTTGGGGAGTTCTAGGAGTTGAAGCCCATAAGTCTTAAGGTTGCCTACCCCTGACTCAGGAATTCTGGGAGTTGAAGTCCACGAGTCATAAAAGAGCCAAGGTTGCCTACCCCTGTCGTAGACACAAAGTTGGAAGCGTCCAGTAACTACAGCGGTGCAGCTAGTATTGGGCACATCTTGATACATCTGTATAACATCCCTATTTCGCGAGCTGCACTTGTAGCTGCTCTCAACGATGCTGTTATCATCCCAAAAACCCTACTAGCCCTGAGCCTGGCTCTTTGTGGGACTGTCTGTATCCATTTATTTTTGCCCATCTAATAAGATATAATAGCATAGGTGTTGTTCAGGTCCTGTCTTTTAAGCAATATCATCTGCTGGGACCCAGGAAATGGGTTTTCTCTGTTGCTGTGCCTGCTCTGGGGAACGGTATTTTCCCAGAAAGCTAGACGGCCCTAATCCTGCCTGCCTTTCATATGTAGCCAGGGGAAGCAAATGCTACTTGATATGAACTTGCAAGTTCTTTCAATTTCACAGACAAATGACAGAGGTCAAACTAATTATAAATTGATCAAGACATTTGGTTAGAAATAGTGAATAGTGCTAGAAAAAAAATTAAGTACCTGTGCAAGGCACCTCCAAGTATACAATGCAATGTCTTCAATATAAATCCTGGGTGTTTATCATTTTAGGCTGATCCTAACAACTGCTTCATGCTCTTTATTAGAAAATGAATATATACATATCTTTAAAATTTATAATTAAATAACTGATTTTCATATCATCTTGCCTGATCCGATGTCCAAGTAAAATCCAGGTTTAGAAAATTAAAATTTTCTCTATTTCAAGTGCAAGTCATAGCTACTTAAAGTTCTAACCTTGTACTATTTTGCACTGATAAAAAAAGGAATTTAATATTGCTCTTCAATTTGCTAGCATTTAACTATTTACTTCCATTCATTCATTCAGAAATCATAGAGAGCCAGTTTGATTTAGTGGTTAAGACACCAAGCTAGAAAGCAGGGAATTGTGAGTTCTAGTCCCGCCTTAGATGTTCTGCTAGAGAAATCAGGATTGTCTTAGACTGGTTAAGGTTCTATGAAAATGCTATATTATATTATTTTAAAAGTGTACTTATATACATATCTGTTATGGTATTTGATTAGCAAGCTAAATAGTTAATGACAGGAAGTAAGAGAAAAGAAAATCTAACTAAATCTAGTTTACAGCATTACCATTTACTATCTCTCCCTACTTTCTTTTGTCCTATAAACATTCTTGGTTTTTCTGTTTCCATGCCCTAATTTGTACTGTGCCTTCTGTTTATTGAAACCTCTCATCTTTTTCTTTTTGTGGATCTCAGCAGCTCTATCCAGTCACAAATTTTTGATCTTCTCATTCCCATTGACTGATTACCTCTTGCTTCACATATTTCTTTTGTGTTGTGTGGACCTTCACTCATTCTTTCTACTGTATATGACCAAAACATCTCATAGTACTTCATTTGGATTGGCCACTCACTTTAATGTTCAACCCACGTTTATTCACATTTTGACTGCAATTCACTGTTTTACCACATACAAAGATACATACACAAAGTACACCATTTGCACTGCGTTCAACCTTGTCCATAAAAAATTGGATCAAACAGTAACCAATTTAATCCATTTTTTTCTTAGGCCCCATTGGGAAGGCCACAAATAAAATTTATTTACAGTTGCATCTTGATACTCATGGACAATAAACCACTGTGGTTAATGGTGATTGTTAGACTTTTTCTTTTCATTTTCTAGATGAGGATGCCAGTTGTTTTTAATATTACAGATTATACTTTTTTAAATTTTCAGTGCATGAAATTTATCTTATTTCTTAGATTTACATTCCACTTTTCTCCAGAAGTCAAATCCATATACATAATAATACACAGTATTATGAAAACGTATTAATTGTATGAAATAACATTGCATACCCTCATTTATTCCTTCTAGTATTTACATGCCAATGGAATTGTTCACCGGGATTTGAAACCAGAAAATCTATTGTATGCAACTCCAGCTCCAGATGCACCTTTAAAAATAGGTAATTGATAATTGGTAACTTTTAGTAGCATCCTTAGCAAGTTGGTACTAAAGGATACTGTGAGACCTCAGAATCAGAAAACATTAACAGACATAACCAAAGCAAAATTTAGGGTGTACAGTAAAATAAGCTATAAACCATCACAATAGCAAATAAGTTGTACAAAACAAATTTCTAGAATAAAAAGGAGCAATTGACAATTCACTTTGTTCATATTGCAGTCTTGTACAATTCCCGAAGAATGAAGCAAGTTAAAAATAACTATGTCTGATGAAGGACAAAGCTGCTGTTAGCCTAAATCAACCACTGCTTGTTCCTAATTAGGCACAGGAAGATGATATATGTAAGCAGCTTGACAAAGCGCTTGTTTGTATCTCAATTTTATCTTCTCCTTTAGGAGAACACCTTGTGATCACAGATCAATAAAACTTTAAAACTTCCTTCAGTTTTAGGTTTCTTGCATTTAACAAGGGGAAAATTTTTCTATAATACTTGCCGCATTCATTTCATGCTGAAGAGAATTAATTTCTTCTCTATCATATTTTCATTCTGTCCCCTTTATGCAGACAGCATTCCAGAGCCAAAGTCTGATTCACAGACTTCTACCTGCAACCATGATTCTTTGAAATTTGAAAATAATTATTCTTATCTCCTCTAAATTTACATTCATTCATACAATAATAGTTTGTGTGCTTCATAAGCCTCTTTTCCCCTATATTTCAGTGCATACTGTTTTACAGATAGACAGTGGAACATTATTCAGTGATGATGATGTGTGTTTAAAAGACATGCAGTTGGGAAGAAAAAGGACAACCATACAACCGGTTTTCAGTACTTTGCCACATTGAGTTGAAGGTCACCTTTTCCATCTATATAGGCTTCCTACCTGATTTAGAACATTGATTTGCTATGTCTAATTCAACAATTATTTCATAAGAAATGCAATTTTCTGATTTTGTTTAACAGCTGATTTTGGACTTTCCAAGATAGTTGCAGATCATGTTACCATGAAAACAGTCTGTGGAACTCCAGGATATTGTGGTATGTTTCTGAATTTATCTTATTTTAAATCTGTTTTATTTGTATTCTGTTGTTTTCACTTTCTATAATTTCTAAATTTAGCAATTATCACACTAAAAACAAAAAAAACCTCAGTTCATATTAAAATATATAGGTCTATATTGTATTCACTTATTCAAACTATCATTTATCATACACTAACTATAACTCTACATGGTTAGCTATAGTGTGCACATCCCAAAGCCGCATTTTTGCTTAGAGAGAAGACCATCCAGATGGAAGTATGAAGTTTCTGGTTAAATATAACAGTTTGTAATACGATAAAATCTCAATTTCACTGACTTCAGTTTAGTGGATCTTAAAGGCAACGTTTAGATTTATAGATCAGACTTTACCCCTTGTAATGCTCTGGATAATTGATGTATTTTATTCCATTTGCATTGTAATACTCACATTTTATATATTTTGCATAAATTTCTACCATATGCACAACATTTGCATGTTCATGTAAATAACAAATTAAGCGAATATAGTTTCTTGGTGTTAGAAAGAAATCTTACTAGGTCCATTTCCAAGCCAGGAATAAAGAACGCAAGAAGTCGCTTCAATCAAAGGTGAAGTTTATTGCAAGGGCCTAATACACAAAAATAACTTGGAGGCAGCCATGGTTAGATATTTCTCAAATGTCCCTTATATAAGAAAATTTTACCTTTTTTCATTGAAAATGAAACACCCTGTAGGAATTGTAAGAAAATGCACTTAGCCAGCTGAGAACAGGCCGTTTTTTGCAGTCAGGCACCCTGCTGAGCTGTGGGTTCTGATTATTTAGCCTTTGTTGATTAACAATAGTAATCTCTTTGGGGCAAGGGACCTTTTTTCTTAGTTGATCAAAGAGATTAAGTTTCAGACCGGGAACAATGTTCACCCAGTTATAGTTTCATTGGCATTTTCTATTGCGTTTTGATCTTTGTCTAGAGCCTATTCTGATTTGTGATTTTGAATCTTTTATCTTTGATTTCAGCAGGAAGACTCTATAGTGGGAGGACTTTGACTGCTTTTTCACACTGGCTATCTGACAACACAGACATTCCTAAAAGACATACACCTCAGTTATACTGCAGGTTTAGAATCACCTTCTCCAGTTCTTGTTTATCATGCCAAGACAGATTTTTCTCCAACTCACTTTCTCTGGGAGATAAAATTCCTTTTAAAATATCTCAAAACTTATTCTATGGAAGCTGGAAAACAAATGGAATACTGTATATCATCTCCACAAACAATCCCTGATATACAGCTGGAATCTTCAGGAATCTGTAAAAACATCTAAATAAATTAAGAAGCTATGTAGAAAGAACATCCATCAATTGATTTAAGAGGGAAAATATGTCTTCTGAATGAAGCTTGTTTCCCCCCTCATAATATTTAAATAATTGCAGTATTCATTAAAAGTATAACACAAAAAAGATACAGATAAAAGTTTAAACATGCTTCTTGAAAAGAAAATCTCTTAAGCAAATCTATTTTGAATATATTAGGAAAATCCCACATGAAGATCAGAAATAGGTTGTTAAATAAAAAAGTATGCCCATATTATTGAGAATAAAATTGACCAACTTTCTCAAAAATATTTGCCATAGTAACTTATAATTAGTTTTTATTGTTTTAATTTTAGAACTGTTGTGTCAAAGTATCGTTCCAAAAATCTATTTTTTGCAGTTTAGTTGCTAAGCACATTTGAAAGCTTTTAATTAGTACTAAAATTACTTACATTTCATACAGAAATATTTTACTTTTGCCTTCTTAAGTTCTATTTTATTTAGTTATATTTATAAATTTTGTCATTTTGAATTTGTAGAATTATGTTTTTTTTCTTTATAAGTTTAGACCATATATTAGACCATGGCTGTTATCTAGTTTTACTGACAAGGTTTTTATCATCTGCAGCACCAGAAATTCTACGAGGGTGTGCTTATGGCTCAGAAGTGGACATGTGGTCCATAGGAATAATCACCTATATCCTGTAAGTTTAGAAGACATAAGTATGGAACAGGTGGTTATTTCATTATTTTCTAATAATCAGCATTCATTAACTGTGTCAATAAGAACTAAATCAATAATTTGCTTTGCTCTGCTTTTAATGATTTGAAGGATGAAGGTCCAAGAATTATTTAAAAGCAAAAATTAGATTTTAAAATATGCATTGATTTCAATTTGTTAAATTATAAGTCTTGGGGCATTGTTTTCCTTTATCTTTATGGTAGCTTGTAGTTTCATTTGAGACAATGATTCTCTCTACCCTGAGATTCATGAATGAGTTTGGATTTAAATTTAGGTTGCAATCCAGGGCATGCTGCCTCTGCTTCTCAAGAACTCTTCATAAAGCAAGATATTTCCCCTTGTCACCACTGTCCCAAAATGGATATAAGAGACATGAAAATTCAAAGTGAATTGATGTTTACCTAGAGTGTAACAGTGTGAAAAAAAATCCTAAGATGGAGAATGTGGACTGAGTGCAGAGCCATTGTTAGATGATGTTGATATGAAATTGTATTTAATATCCCATCACCATGCTTTGAAAGCATAAAGGACACACATATCAATGTTTCTCTTTCTAAAAACTTCCTTCTTCTACACCTTGCTTCTTCCTTTAAAAATGGCCATTGGTAAATCAATTTTGGGATGAACTGAGAAGAATGCCACCATCATTGCTCAGTTGAGCATTAGATGTAGAATAAGAACTCTACTGGTGTGAGCATAAGTCAGGGGTTTTCAAACTTGGCCCTTTTATGACTTGTGGACTTCAACTCCCAGAATTCCTAAGCCAGCGTACTTGGCTGAGGAATTCTGGAAGTTGAAATCTACAAGTCATAAAAGGGCCAAGTTTGAAGACCCCTGGCCTAGGTAGAGGAGTGTTATACAGTAATTAAGCATTTTTGGCCTTCTTTTTCATGAGCCTTCCCATGCAGGAGAGTCTTCTGAAGCATTGAGATTTGCAGCTGATTACCAAGCAAGAAAAAAGTCTTTTCAAGAAGTTCTAAGATGAAATATTTTTCCTTTTTTTCTGGAAGGTTTTCCTGGACTAATATTTTGTCAATGTTTTGTAAATTTATTTTTATTTTATATTGTTATTTTACATTCACAAATACAGCCCTCCTTTTTCTCTATCATATGTATGAATGTATGTATATACTACGTATGTACCTATGTATATGGCAAAGAAAGAGGAAGTAATATTAAATTCTGAAAACCTCAAGAATAAAAATTGCCATTTACATTTACAGCAAACCAGCAAATACATGATATAATCATTAATGTATTTTACCTATTTATTAAATGATAGGCTGCTCCTTGCAGATTTTCAACTCACAACATAAATATAGAATTTTTAATCTAAATTCCCATAAAATATAATTGACTATTCCAATATATTTTTGTAAATATTGATATAAAACCAAGCGTCCACCACATGTGTGCGTGTAATTGCTTTCCTAGATGAAGACCTTGCATTAATTATTATTTTTTATAAACATAGACAAAAACCAAATTAAATTATTGTTAAATTGCATTCTTTATTTTCAGGTCATTTTTCAAACCCATCATCATAATTTTAAAGCTTGCTTCTATCTTTTAAGGCATTACCTCTCCCACTCAAATCTGTGCCATGTGTATTTAATAAGCATTCTTTCCACTTCTTGTCCAAGTAATTAATAAAAATATTGAAGAATACAAAGCCCTGAATATACCCTACTCCAGTGGTGGCGAACCTAGAGCCCTCTCTGAGGGCATGTGCGCCATTGCTCCAGTCCTAGGCCTTCAGCTGGGTTTTATAAAACCTTTTTGTTTTAGGCTTCTGACGCCGTGTACAAAAAAAAAGGTTCAATCAATCAGTCAATTTCAACTTCTCACGGGAAAAAAAAGATCTTGCAAAGTTGGAATTGATTGATTGAACTTATTAGTCCCACCCAGTCTGCTGTTACGACTGCAGCCACGCCCACCCAGTGGGCCATACCCACTCAATGGGCCACACCCACTTGGCACCCGACAATGCATAAGTGGGTTTTGGGTTGCGGTTTGGGCACTCAGTCTCTAAAAGGTTCGCCATCACTGCCCTACTCAATACTTCCATCTAGTTTGCTGAAGAATCATTATCAAGCCCTCTCTAAGTTCAATTTTTAAACTAGCTATATACCTACTTAATAATAATACCATTCAACTCACATCATGGAAAACTTTGTCAAACATTTTGCTGAAATCAAGATGTATTATGTCTGTAGCGTTCCCATATTTTGCTAAGAAAATGTCCCAATAAAAATGAAATAAAATGACCAGTGCAAGTGTTATTCTTGGCAAATCCATGCTGATTCCTAATTAATATTACATTGTTTTCAAGTTTTTTTTGCAAATTAATTTGTGATCTTCTCTAGAACATTCAAAAGTAACAATATCAGACTAGCTAGTTTATAGTTTCCTTCCTTCCTTTCTCCCTCCCTCCCTCCCTCCCTCCCTCCCTCCCTTCCTTCCTTCCTTCCTTCCTTCCTTCCTTCCTTCCTTCCTAAGGAACAGAATTTGCCTTCTTCCAGTCATCAATATTTCAAATGTTTTTGATGAGCAACTTATTTAGCCAAGATAATTTAAACTTTTTCAGATTAAAGAAATCTGATGTTATATGATAAATGATTATTTATCATGTTTATATAATAAATTTACTCTGAATCAGCAGCTCATTTTCTTTTTTTAGGAACCTTCACCAGTCTCAGTTCAGCTGTCCTGAAACTATCTAAAACTTTCTCTGTGTATTATTGCTCAATTATCTTTCCTTGTTCCTATCTTCTATACTGTATGTTGCCTTTCATTTCATTTAATAACAATGGCTGTTTTTACTGCTCTCCATATTTTTCCTCAGTAAGAAAAATAATTGCAGTTATGCTCCTAGTATCTTCTTTTTTAGGAAACTACCAATCTTAAGATTTTTTTTCATTAGCTTTTTTTCTGTTCCAAAGTCATTATGCTAATGTTAATAAATTCTGCTTTCTTGAAATCTATGTTCAACTTCAGTTTTTCTTAAAATCATGGATTTTACCTTTGTGTAAAGCCCAGTATGAGATTTAGAAATACATATGTATTATATTAGAGAAGTCATTCAGTTCTACAATCGCTAACTGTTCATATTGAAGAAATTTATTAACATTATGTATTATTTTTAATTTCCAAGATAATGCACAATACTTCAATATTTGCATATTTATTTTCTGGGCAAAGAAGCTAAGGTTGACGTATATCATTCTATCTCACCAAATGTATACAGTTTTTTCTCATTTGCATGTAGACTTTGTGGCTTTGAACCATTCTATGATGAAAGAGGAGATCAGTATATGTTCAAGAGGATTTTGAACTGTGAATATGATTTTGTTTCTCCCTGGTGGGATGATGTATCTCTGAATGCCAAGGATTTGGTAAGTTCAGTAAATTTTTACAATTTTTGAGTGGTGAAGTCACCTGCCTTTCAATTCCTTTTAATATTGGTGTAATTGAACATACTCTACATTAGGGGTGTCAAACTGCCAGCCTGTGGGCCGGTTGTATCATGCAGAGGCCGCGCCCACTTCAGCTCCAGCAATGCAAAAAAAAGTTGCGATATGTCGCAACACATCACATGACGTGGCGAGTTTGACACCCGTGCTCTACATAATAAGGGAAGGAGGCATAAATCACTGCATAACTAAGAAAAGTTTGTAACCATTCTAGTAAATAACTGAGAGGAAAAAAATTCTTCTCTACCTCTTGGCTTCTCAATAAGGCTTTTATTCACACAGAGAATTTACAGAATGTTACAGGGAAAAGATTGTGTAACATTTGCTTTCATTTGGAACATTCCTATATTTTCCCACTATTTTTTCTGCCATTGATTAAAGAAGGAAAGATGGACAAATGGCCAAAGAGCTGTCTAGTCTACATAATTTCCCTTCTATTGCTTGCCCCTGGTAGGATTTTAAAAGAAGCCTTGAAAGAGGACAAAGGAACAAGCATTTCTGTCCTGATTTCTTCATTGAATTTCAGAACGTGCATTGATAGCTTTGGTATCCTGACTATCTGTATTGCAAAATGCCATCCATTATTATGATTATAAATTAGCAACCGTAATTCATACAGAAATATAAAGGGTAGATATATAATATCTATAGTGGAAAAAAAGGAATCTAATATATGGTTTTAGTTTTTCAGCACTGACAACTTTAATGTTTTTAAAATAACAAAATAATGTTTTGATTTATTAAATCATCCCAATTACGTCTGGTAGGGAAGGAAATTGAAAGTTTAAATTCTGCTTCAGCTTTGCCAGTTTATTGCAGCTAGAACTAACAGCTCGGTCATTTGTCAGAAAGATATTGATGCATAAGATGTGCTGAATACATCATTCCTTAGATTAGGGCCTATGGAAACATAAAATAAATATTCAAGGAATTGAATGGTTTTTGTTAACTTTATATTTTTGATATTATGCAGGTTAGGAAGCTAATTGTGCTTGACCCCAAAAAACGCCTTACTACTTTCCAAGCTTTACAGCATCCTTGGGTCACAGGAAAGGCAGCCAATTTTATTCATATGGATACAGCTCAAAAGAAACTCCAAGAATTCAATGCTCGACGTAAACTGAAGGTATATATCTGGGGGGAGGGTGATCTGCACAGTTAGCAGTGTGATGCAGCACTTATACAGTAGAAGTATGTCAAAACAGAAGGCATCATTCCTTTCTATTCTGCACTAGTTAGACTACATGTAAAATATTAGATCCAATTCTAAATGCCTCATTTTAGGAATTTGATAAACAGGAGCATGTCCTAAATAAAACAGGTAAGGGTCTTGGAAGGAAACATTTACAAGGAATGATTAAAGGTACTGGATATGTTTACTCTGGAGGAGATAGCAGAGAAACATAATAACTTTCTTCAAGTACTTGAAGAGCACTCATATTAAAAATAGGGCTGATTTTTCAAAGTTGTTCCAAAAGACAGCTCAGGGATCAATGGTCCTAAATTACAAGGATCTACATTTAAATTAGACATTAGATAAAAATGGTAACATATTTCTTTGGGAGAAAGTGAATTTGTCTTTACTGCATGTGTTTAAACAGAAACTAGATACTTTCTATCAGGAATGCTGTATTAATGGATTCCTGACTTAGCCTAAGGGGTACACTCAATTATTTCCATTCAATCTTTGCGTTCTGTAAGTCTATGAAATCATTTCATTATAATATATAGTGGAATACAGAAAGTTTCTGCTCAGGCAGAATTACAGATTGGGGCAATCCCTTTTTATGATCTCAGTAAATGCTCAATGTAAAATAAAATTAAGGCAGAGGGAGATTTTTTCAATGGTACCTCAGTAAGGATAAACTTGAAAGTACAATATGCTGGGTCATATTAGAGATGTCAAAAGAGACCCTATTACTTTGCAAGCTGCCCCAAAAGTCCTAAATTACACCCATTCTGCACAATTTAAAGTGGAGAGACAGTAAGAATTGCCCTCCAATCACCTATTCTGATTACAATAAGCTCTAAAAATTTTGAGTTACGATTAACTGACCCTTATTTCTCTATCCTGATGCCCTGTAGATACGTTGCAACTCATTCCCTAAATGGCATAATTCAAGGTTAACTCAGCCTTCCATCCTTCCAAGGTTGGTAAAATGAGGACCCAGATTGTTGGGGGCAATATACAAATATGCTTTACAACAGCAGTCCCCAACCTTTACAGCTTGGTGGCCTGGCTGGGAGGGGGACTGGTCTGCACAAGTGGCAGGCTGGCATGCATGTGCATGCAGCCTTTTGCTTGTGTGACTGGCAGGCTGGCACACATGTTCATGCAGCCCTTGTGTGAGTGGCAGGTTGGTGCACATGCAAGCAAGTGCCCACCGGCCCACCACTTGTGGAAGTTGAGCTTCGCACGTGCATGTGTACTCCAGCCAGCCACTCACACAGCCCAATTCTGAATAGGCCATAGCCCAATAGTGGGCCGCAGTGGGGGCTGGGGACCCCTGCTTTACAATATGCTTATACTGTAAACCACTCAGAGAATGCTGTAAAGTGCTATGGGGTGGTATGTAAATCTAAATGCTATTGCTATATCAGAAGCACATCAAGGATGAAAAATTCTGGACTTCCGCTTCTGGATCAGGCAGTTTCAGCCACATGAAGAGCTGTCGCTCTTCGATGGCTGCCTTTCTCTCTACTGGTAGACTCTTATGCAGGTCTTAAATCGCCCTGGAGGGGTGATCACCGTCAAGGAGGCTTTTTATCGGCTGAGGTGGAGCGGCGGCTCCCCCTACCGTCTGAGCTAACTCCGTAGGGCCGATGGAGAAGAAGATCGGTCAGTAAAATGGCCGATCACTTCGCTGTGCCAGCTGAAGTCAGAAAATCATCTAAGCATAAAGAACCACCGTGGTGAATCTGGGTGAGACCTTTCCTCCCTTTCTCCATTCTGAACTAGTTTTCCTGCAAAGAGCTTGCTTTTTGGATGACTTCCCTGTTTTAAGAAAGCAGCTTCTGTCTGTTTGGGGAAAAAAAAAATAATAATACTTTAAGCCAACTATAGAAATAGTACTCGTTATATTTCGAACCTTTTGGATATTGGGCATCCCTGGAAAGATTTCTAATTTAGAGCATTATTTTACTTACTATACTGAAGATATTTGTTTTTTCCTGTCTCTTACATTGTCATTCTTAATGAGATAAAGGCTTTTAATGTGCTAAAAAAAAAAAAAAACCTTTCTATAGCTTACTGAGGAGATCTTGTGGCGAAAATAGTGTTTGGAGAACACTACTTCAGGAATTAATAAGAAGAAAAGATAAAGGCTTGGAAACAGCTGTGGTTTGTGTTTTTGATTTAAAAATTGTGGAGGCGGATGTATATGGACTCTTAATAAATATAGTTTCCACAAAAACTTTAAAAGATTCTTTTACTATGGAAATAGAAGACTTTTACCCACAGCTTGACTATGAGCTGATATTGGAAAAAATATTGGAAATGACAGAGGAGATGAAGTTATGGAGAAAAACAAAAGGTTATTTTGCAAAACCACAAGCTGAGCCTCAAACTTTAAAAGATCAACCTGTAGGCCAAGAAGAAGCCTATATGCAACAGTATACACAATGTGAGATGGAAGAAGAAGTTACTGATCAATTGAATTCTGGACTGGATTATGAGCTGATACTGGAAAAAATATTGGAAGTGACAGAGGAGATGAAGTCATGGAGAAAAACTAAAGACCTAGAATCACAAGCTGAGCCCCAAATTTTAAAAGACTAATCTACAGGCCAAGAAGAAGCTTATATGCAATAGTGTACACAATTTGAGATGGAAGGAACTCACTGATCAATTGAACTTTGGAAAAATTCTGGACCCAAAATCCCAGATTGAGATCTTAAATAACTACTCTATAAATCAACTAACTACTACAGAGGAGGATATTTCACAAGTCTATCTACAAATGGAGTACTTTGAAGATCAAAAAATGACTATAAATGAAGTTCTCCCATTGCCAAAATTAACAGGAATTAACAGCCAGACGCGATCGATTGAAAGTTATGACAACCTGAATAAGCAAGCTGAAATTATAATATGGAATAAAATGGACTATACTGTGTATATGATACTGGAAAAAGGGGAAGAGAATTTTGATCAGATTGATTTGTTGATAAACATTAGTACTCAAATATTGAGATTTGATGACATAGAAGCGACAGTACGGAAACCAGCTTGGTATAGAAAAAAAGCCAGAGTTAGATTTAAAAATGTGATTTAAAATTTTAATTATTGGGTCAAAAAAGCTTTAGAAATTTGGACTGATTGGACAATCTAATTGAGTAAATGAAAGCAGTAAGATAATAATTGGTGTAATAATATGTCTGTCTTAGATACGATACTTAATTTGGTTGAGAGTTAAATTTTACTTAACAGGTCGAAATGATTCTTTTTTGTTTTTTTTATCTGTTTATATAGAAAACTATTTTGTAATAGCAGAAGAATTAGAGAGATCTATGATAAGAGAAGAGTATTAATTAGTGATGTATCAAATTAAGAGATGGAATATATGTGAAAATATTAGAATGTTATTCTTGGAATATTATGTGTTTAGAAGGGATACCCAAAATTTTATTAATATGTTTGTTTAAGATCAATTGGAATATTTTAATTGAAATTAGTGGAGCTTAAAAGCAGGAGTGATTTATGTAGATAGAATAGTAGGGATGATTCTGTGGATGGATTGAATTTTAAGAAGAAATAAATTAAACTAAATTTGCTATATTATGTGAGGAAATAGAGGGGGAAATTTTTTTTAAGGTATTAATTTTAGTTTTATATATATATATATATATATATATATATATATATATATATATATATATATATATATATATATATATGACTTGTTTTGTTATGATTGATTACCCTTTCACCACTGTGTTTTCCTGAGCACTTTGATGTTAAAATTAAAAAAACCAATAAAATGTATATTTAAAAAAAGGATGAAAAATTCTGCCTTATTCCATCAGGATTATTTTATTATGATGTCATTGCAAAACTAGGTATGCATTGCATTGGTTGTAGGTTTTGGCATAACTTTTTGGTTTGCTAATTTTTTTCATTTTTCTGGCTCTATATTTTAGTCTTGTTTGTATCAGTTTGCTTAGTGGAAACAACATGCAAGAAAATGCATACATTCTCCTAGTCACCTAGTGCATTTTAAATAACTTTACTCAAATGTGCATGTGCATATCTGCATGTACCATTCCCTTATATATACATTTTGTGCTTTGTATTTTCTTAAGATTTTTAAACAACAACATTACAGAATTCTTCTATATATGAGTACAGGAAATGTGAATAAAATTCATTGTTTTGTTAAACCATGTCAGTTAATAAAGTTTGAGCATAACTTATTTAGAATGTAAACCTAGACTTTATCACATGTTATGTATGAAAAAATCTATGATTTAGCTTCATTAAGCTAAATCATATTTTTTTGATATATGTGAATGAACTACCTTACATTCAGTGCAACCAAGCTATATCATACATGTCAAAAAATAAGATTTCTCTTTTTTCTTAAAAAAAAAAAAAACAGGCTGCAGTGAAAGCTGTTGTTGCATCAACTCGTCTTGGAAGTGCAAGCTACCACAACACCCACGAGAGCAATAAGCTCAGCGAAAACCAGCTTGTAAGCTCAGAAGATGATACAGAAGAAAAAGAGACAGCAATAAGCCACATAACTCAGGTCATTCAGGAACAAGGATCTGAAGGGGGAGACCCGTAAATCTTGCAACGTTTTCTTTTAGCAAAGACCTCCCATTTCATGCACCAGCCAAATTATCATTCAACAAGAATAAATTATGGATGACTTTGCTTTCAGGTGTAAAGTCCAACTGTAGCTGGTGATCTGAACTTTAATGCATGTGATTGCTTCTGAAAAACAGTAAAGTCTTTTATTGGCATGCCGTGGATAAAGTGATGTTTACAGTAATGCCAAGAGGGGAAGTGGGAGAATAGGAAGTACGCGCACATCTTATGAGCAACATGAATAAGTAATGTAGAATGTTTATAAGATAATATATAAAATGCAAGATGGTTACTTACACAAAAAAGGCATTCTCTAGCATCATGACATTTTTCCAATATACTTCCTTTCAAATGTGTAATTATCGAGTAGTCTCATAGGCACAAGGATCCACTAAGTGTTTTTTTAAAACCTATGAAAGAGTTTTATTTATCAATGATACCTTAAAATTATTTATGATTGAAAACTTAGAGATTTATATGCAAAAACATTCTGTTCATTCCTTTGAAAAATTGAGAGGTGATTGGGATGACTAAAAGATGCTGATGTTAAAGATGCCTTACCTCTGTTGATAACCATTTCTATATAGTCTTAATTTATATTATTATAGTCATTTGGCATTTCAGAATTAAATATTCCCTTGGCAGAACCAAATATCTGTAAGAGTTGCAGACAACCCAAGAAGGTGAAGAAAAAATGCTGCAGAAAACTTAGAATTAGTCATACTATGAAATTATGCCCTTGTTATAGAAAATTGAGAATATTGATCTGAAACTATAGAATTATACTGCAAGAAGGATATATGGTATCCAGGAGAGTACCTAACATAACTGTAGAATATCAACTGTAGGTGATAACAGGAACTTTCTGTAATCGGAGAATGGGTGGGCCGTGCACCTTGTCAGTATACAATCTTTACCAAATATAGTTTATGTGAGTTGAAGTATCAGCAGAATGGCTTTTTAACAACAAACTTTTGTTTTAATTCTAATTCTAACATCTGAATTCCTTTATGTATACAAAAAATTTACAAAGAGGCAATATTTACCCTAACAGCCCAGCTCTATATAGTTCTACTCAGAAATAAGCCTTAAAAGTTTGATAGTATATATTCTGTGATAACTGAATATATTTAGAATTTCAACCTCCCAGAAATTAATTAAGTGTATAATTAGTCTCATTTGCTTTTTAGTATACTCACAATAATAGAATATTTTCAATAATTTTTTCTTGCCTTAATTATGCTTTCAGCAGCATTGTCCATCAGTGGCACTATAATTATTATTAATCCAAGAGCATGTTCAGAAGCAAAGGGAATTCATTATTTTAATGTTTTATTATATTAAAATGAAGGGTAAATGAACATTACTTGTGTGAGGCTAAGTATGATAGAATCATGGTTTAGTACAAAATAGTGCATAAGCTTGTTTCTGCAGCAAATATTATATATGCTTTTCTAAAATATATGTTATTCTGAATGCATGAATAAGAACATGAGAAATATTTGTTTTACACAAGGAATAATTGGAGCAAGCACAAGAAATCATTGCAAGATTTTATTATTGTGGCTTTATACCTGTATTGGCAACTACATTTCTTGCCTGGAGTAAATAATTTAGACAGCAAACTAATAACAACTATAATAAATCTCCAGCAATATCTAAAGCACTTTTTATATATGAAGTACATACACATACACACAAAAACACACACCCTTTGGGTGAAACTGCATTCTCTAAGCTTAAATAATCGTCTCTTTCACATATGCTGAATGATATATATACAAATTCCCTAGGCCTGTGGAAATCTGTGTACATATTCAAACCATCAGACCATAGCTTATAGGTATGGTTAAATACATGCCCCATTGAAATGAATCAAGAATTACTTTTGCAGTTTTCACCCTGACTTGCATTGATGGTTTAGATAGCATGAATCTAAGGTTATTCCCTTTCACAAATTTGCTTTTACTGATTTTGCTATATGAATGTATTTATGTGTTTTAGTCCTAGCAATTGTGGAAACACAGGGTATAAATCGTGATTTGTTTGTTTTTATAAGATTATGCTGCACATTTTCCACTGAGGTTCTTCTATAAAATTAGTATTTTATAAAATCTACAATACAGGTAGACCTCATTTAGCAATTGTTCATAGTCACAACAGTGGGGAAAAAGTAAGTTTATGACCAGTTCTTGCATTTACAATCTTCATATATCTATAAAGCAGAGGAAAACTGAAGTAAGATTATATGCTCAATCTCAGTTTCATTTAGCACCTACTTTGCTTAACTACTGAGTTGCCAGTTCCAATGGTGGTCACTAAATAATTACATTACATCTAAGTTAGATGCTACTGAAACAAGTTCAACTTCAGTTCACTTTTTAGTAAAAGCTCAGTAGTCTCCTTGAGTCCATCTAATCAACTTCTTGTTACCTTATTTTCTTCATCCTGATCAAATACCATATTTTTTCTATCCCTTTTCCCTCTTGTATCACATGCTGAAAACATAGTATGTGAATTTTTGTTTGCTGTTCATTGTCTTAAGGGAACAATCAGCCTTTATTTGGACAGGAATGGTCGATGTTTTAGTAACATTCCCCAAATTTTAAACTCAAAGGACTATACCTCAGTTTTTCCATGTGTTCAATCTTCAGAGTTATACAATGCCACCGAAAAGAAAAAAGTTAAAATAGTATTTTAACTATTCTGTTTAATTTTTCATTTCTTCCTATAATTTCTTTCTTCCTAGGAATAATCCTCCTTTTTATTTTTCCAGCACATTGTCCATTTTTATTTAGAGCAGTGTTTCTTAAACTATTTTCCCCCTCAAAGTACCCCTTCCCACTTTTAAAAGATTATGGAGGAGCCAAAAGAGTTTTTGTTTGTATGGATTATGTTTATCATTATTTATTCTATTAAAAATTAAAGTTGAACTTTTGATACCACTATCACTTCTCAATCTTGCTTGATGGGATTTTAATATTGGATTATTTTTCAACATAGCCTGATAAATATTTTGCAAACCTGAGAGGATCTTGAGGTATAGTAGGGGTCCTAGGATCACCCTTTAAGAAACACTGATCTAGAGTAATATTTACTTCAAGAAAACAAAACTATCAAGCCTTCACTTCTTCATTGTCATACAGGTAGATGTTATTTTGGTTGTCTTAATATTTAATATTAATTTGTATTTTTAATTTTCCATTTTAACATGCACAATAATTATAATTCTTTATCTTTGGCTGATAAAGTGGTGTTGTAAGAATTTCTCAAAACATTAGTATTTTAATTTCCAGTGCTTATTCCAATCTTAAAACCCTGGAATCTGCAATTCTTAAAACACATTGGTTGTATAAATTAAATGCAAGGGAGAATATATATCCTTTTGTCGCTCATTTTCCTATTCCAAATCACTCTGTTTCACCAAATGTAATTCTTAAAGAAGCTTCTTGATCATACTTACAATTTCTCAGAAAAGTAATCAGGTATTCTGGCACACCATTAGCCTTAACACCTTCTACATTCTGCATGATTTACATAGTGAAAGGCTTTCCTCAGTAATGAAGCAAGGATAAATTTCTTCTGTTTTTTACTCTTCATTATCCAGTTTATATAAAAGCTGTTTGTTCTCCTGTCCCCCTGTCTTTCCACAAATCTGATTTAATCATTTGGCATTCTGTCTCCCTGTAACAGCTTTATTCTTTAGCTCAGTGGTTCTCAACCTGTGGGTTGGGACCCCATTTGGGGTCGAACGACCATTTCACGGGGGTCGCCAAACAATGCAGTCCGCCATTTTTTTCCCCCTTTTCCTTAGCTGTGCTACTCCCTTTTATTCTATTGGCTTTTGAAAGCCAATAGAATAGACTCTCTTGAATAGAGTCTAATTCTATCGGCTTTCAAAAGCCAATAGGAATTGTCCAGGCTGTCTCTGCCCTGCTGAACCCGCCAAAAGTCCAATTCTGCAAATGGTGCTGTACCAGTTGAGTAGTCCTCGACTTACAACCGGTTGAGTAGTCCTTGACTTACGACCGGTTGGGGGTCACGGCATTAAAAAGGTTGAGAACCACTGCTTTAGCTGATAGAGGTATATAAGTCTCTAAGCCACATAAAGGTAATCCCTGAGTTATGAACATTCCCTTAGCGAACATTTGAAGTTATGCAATAAGTGCCCCCTAGTGTTTACAAACAAGTCCCAAAATTACAAATGTTGCAGCACCGCGGCAATCACTCACCCTTACGAATGACTGCAGAAGCACTGCAACGTTCACCCTGGCTATTCACTCCCCCCCCCCACACACACACACCAAGTCTTCATAGGCACTAGGCTTGTGGATACTCATCTTGTGAAGATCTAAAAAGTCTTCGTTTCTTGGCCTGTTTCACTGCTTCAGGCCTTCAGTGCGTTTGCAGAGAATGGATGCCTAAAGTACCACAAGATCATGCAAGATCAGTAACATGAGATCTCATGCTACTGATCTCGTGTGATCTCACGGTACTTTAAGTCTCTGTTTGCAAATGGAGGCTTGGATCTACGGCAAAAGTCTTTGCAAATGGAGGGAAAGCCTGAAATACCGAAGCCTTCCCTCCATTTGCAAAACCTTTTGCCATCTTTGCAAAAAGCCTTTGCCGACGAAAATGGAGCCCCAGATTGATGCGGGGGTCACTCCCAGCCTCCGTTTCTAGTGGCAAAGGCCTTTCCTCAAGGACATTTTGCATGGCGACTGGAAGCCTGAAGTCACATAATATCACACCCCCTCAGGAGCTTCCAGTCTCGGCACCTAAACTGTTTGCAAGCTGGATGCTTTGGGGTAGTGTTTTCAGTGACCCAAAGCCTCCTGTCAGCTTGCAAATATTTTGAACCAAGAGTGAAAGGTTCTGGGTGCCGTGATCTTGTGTGGCAGAGAGACTGGAGAGGAGACCGCTCTTTAGATCTTTGCAAGGTAAGTGACCCGACGTGGCAGGATGGGGGGAAGAAATTGTGGGGAGCATGAGGTATCTCAATGGGTCGGGGGAGGTCTTGGGTGGGCTAAAGCAAGTGGCCTGTTCCATCAATAGGCCCCTCATGGCCTTCCCCACCCTGGGAAACCCCATGTGTACTTAACAAACCACACATTCGATTAGTAAATGCATGGGTGAAAGCAGGGAGTGACCGCGTTCAAGATACATCATTCACTCCTATAAATCCTAGAGTTACAAATGGAATGGGCAGGCTACATTCGTTACGCGAGGATTACCTGTAGTCTTGCTCCACATTACTGAATCAGACTCTTAGCACATTATCTGTTTCATGACCTGCATACTTCAATTTCAAGTAGAATTCTTGAATATATTCCCACTACATGTGATTCTATATTCCTGCCCTAAAGAGTTTCAGTAGTTTTTCCATCTTTCTTTTAACTACACATGCCTCCATTTTCTATCTTCTGTGACCACCTTAGTTGAAAATTTTCTTATAATTTCTTTAATCTTACAAAAAGGACTTCATATTTTTCTTTTATCTCGATTTATTGGCATTTCTGAATAGTATTCTCATTTTTGAATTGTCTCTTATTCTTTTTCATTTAACTTTGTTATCCTATGTTTAATTATTGTATATCCTTCTTGCTGACCAAGATCTTAATTCTGTATCTTTTTTGACTATTGATTGCTTGTTCTGCAAAGTAATTGTATCTTTTCTTCTTTGAAATGCTGACTTTGCTTTTCCTGTTTTAGATTTCTTACTATCTCTTATTTCTGCCCCTTGTGCCTCAGGTTTTCTTCTTCATGAGTTAAGTACTTGTTTGTTTGTTGCATTTTTACATTCTGGCTGTTCAGATGGTTTCTGAATCTTATCTTGCTAGCATATCTACTTGTGAGACAATTCCAATTACATTATGGTACAAACCACAGATCAAGCGACTGAATGCTTTCCTTCACTTTCATTAAATGGTTTATTAAACAAAATATACAATTATAATGTATTAAATCTAATATATACAACTAATCTACTTATTTGCCTAATAATACAAGTGATAATGATGTAGCTCTAAGTGAAAAGGAACAATATTTAATAAACTAACAAGTTTCCTTTTCCACATGTTATTTAACTGTCCACTTTTTCCAGTAATACTATTGCCACAGGTTTTTTTTATTTAACCCTCACATTTAAGAACTAGGATTCTGCTCCTTTTACTTAGAGCTTCATGTCCTTTACACTTAGCCCTGTATTATCCTGCAACCCCAACCCTTACACTGCTGCTAAAATTTGAAGTAAATTTGTAATTGTTCTGTTTTACTGAATTGCTTCTTTGGCTCTATTTGTTTGTAAGATGCAAAAACAATTGTTGCTCGCTGGCTATAGCTGGTCTGCATCTTTGAAAGGCTTCTGCGGCTATAAGATGCTGCTACTCCTTTCTCAACTGTAGGATGTACTGGGTCTCTTTGCTCACTCCAATTGTTTTAGTCTCACCACCTCAGCACACAACTGGCTCCTTTAACTCTCTAACACTCTTGCCTTTCTCTCTTCCACTGACAGCCACACCCTGTGCCTTCAGTGACCCTCTTTTATCTCCATGCAATACAGGAGTGGTCCTTACTCACTTAAAGTCCCAGGGCACAATCCATAAAAAAGGAAAACTCAGGTCAGCAGCTTTACATTTTTCCTGCCACACTCCTTCTCCCTTTAACTGAGGATCCCTTTACCTATTCAGCCTGTTATCTTTGTTAGCTGTTTGACAGAGGCTTAGGGTTCTCACTCCGTAGTACAGGGCACGCTGGCTGAGGAATTCTGGGAGTTGAAGTCCCCAAGTCATAAAAGGGCCAAGTTTGAAGACCCTTGCTGTAGCATGATAAGTAGTCTGCTTGAATGATGCTTTTTCCAGCTTCAGACTGAATGGTAAACTTGTATGATTGTAAGCTGTAGCATTTGGTGGAACATATAGTATGAGTAGTTGATGGTCAGTGATGATTTGGAAATTTCATCTCCATAGAAAGACTATTAAGTTCCTCCTCTTCCTAGTCCTTCATTGTGTTGAGGCCTCTTCTTCGATGGTGCTATACGTTTGTTGTTCTGGTGCCAGTTTCTCAATCAAGTCTATGACAGGGTGATCTCCATTATATAGTTCTGTACTAGGGCTGCTCCCTACTCTATTTGCATCAATGAACTCTGTAAAGCAGGGGTGTCAAACTGCCGGCTCACAGGCCTGAGGCGTCACGCCAAAACTGCACCCTCCCCATTGCCGGCAATGGGAAAAAAGTCACGATAAGTCGCGACATATCGTGTGATGTCACGAGTTTGACACCCGTGCTGTACAGGGTCAATCAAAATTTACTCTGCGTAGAGCAGGCTTGCTGCACAATGCACTTTTCAAATTCTTAAAATCTTGTCCACATTCAAGAATCCAATGCATTTTATTGGGTTTTGTCTTCCGTATACTGTAAGGTCTATAAAGGCTTGAGCCCAGTTGTGAAATGGGGAATAAATAACCTAATAGCCTATCAAACCTAAAAATGACGTGACTTCCTTTTTGGTTTGCGGTGAATCTATTTCTCTAAAGTTGCTAACTTTTATATATTTTGTTTTATTTTCTCATTTCCTACAATGTATCCTAAATACCAACCTATGTAAACCCCAATTGATATTTATAGTCACACCTTCTTTAAGCATGTTATAACTTTATAAAACTATTTTAAGTGTTCCTCCCAGATTTTGCTAGATATGATTATGTCATTAAAAAGTCTCCAGACTAACTATCTTGTCTTGTAAGTAAGTATTTTATTCATTTTACATTTGGGAAGATTGTGGGTACCCCATGCAACCCAAAAGGTATTTTTGTAGGGGACAGCAAGTACCATTTTTATAGATTCCTTTTCTAATGGAATCTGTCAATAACCCTTTATCAGATCAAGTTTTGAGAAACATCTAGCATTGCCCAATTGATCTGTTAATTCATCTATATATGGTAGAGGGTAACTATCGAAGTTATCACTGTGCATTTCTTGCTTTAGACATTTTCTTCCTAAATTTGCTAAATAAGCCCCAAATTCTCTAACTTTTCATGGATCATAGAGGTATGATCGAAATCTCATTTGGTAACCTCATATCTAAACAATAAAGCTTCTTTAATTCTATTGAGATCCATAACCTCTTGAGCAGAAAGTTCTGTTTATGTTCTTAAAGTCTTTCCAATGGGATTTTAAACCACCTAGTCCTAATCTGGCACTTATAACATGCTGCAACACATTCAAACATTATAAATAAGGATTCATTATCCTCTTCTTGGTTATTTAGGAATCTTTAAATACTTAGGTCCCTAATAAGGAAAGAGAGGAGAATGACTGGAGGAATTTCTGTTCCTTCCAGAAGGACAATTAACTCCCTAAATTCCTCTCTACTGGTCTCTCTATCCAGCTTTTTCCTTTCAGATCTCTTTGGTCAGTCTGTTTTCAAATTCTCTTCAAACTCTCCCTCCAGTTCCTCTCTTCTAAACAGGTGATTTTTTTTTCATCCTCCTTTCTGAGTAATTGTCTTCTTTCTTCCTCCTACCGCCTAAATATTTCCCCCATAATTTGCATCCTTGAGTATCTGGGGAAGACTGTTCACTCTGAGCTTCTACAAGTGGGTGGATCTGTTTTGTCCCTTATTCCTTTTCCTCTTCCATATTTAACTGTATCTATAGAGAATACCTCTATCATATCCTGGAGTGATATGATATGAATACCTCTATCTATACTGTATCTATAACTGTATCTATAGAGAATACCTCTATCATATCCTCTCTAGGTTTAAATTCCCTCTAGGTCTTTCATTTAGTACTCTGGTCTGATGGTGGTGTT